CGGGTGAAACCAAGTGTCTTTAATTAGCCTAAATTATACCATCTCATACATCATATTTCACACAAAGTCACGTGCTAAAGCTAGTATATAATAACCTGAGCATAGCATTGCTGCATTGTAATGCCAATTCTAATCCATCCAACCAACAATGACCTGCAGCTTGAGATGGTGCTCGGAATATCAGATGTGCTGTCGGTAATGGCTGTACCACTGCACCTGGAAATTAAAAGCAATATTATTTATAGAAAAAAATTAACACAAATTAATAGTCTATGACACTCTTTGGAAGTATATGAATCTAATGACACCTTATTTGTCAAAATCTGATCAGTAGATACAGAGATTACAAGGAACAGACACAACGTTATAAAGCAATTCCGCGTTTCGTCTGATGAGTTTACGTCCCGGAGGTCTAATTTAATCCTCTTTCCCTACCCAAACTTTTTCTTATAAGGAAAGGATGGGAAGTGGAAATGGACTTTCCGGATGAGAGGATGCATGGGAAGGGAAAATATTTTCTTTCTGTGCATCCCCTCCTTCGTAGATTAAAGGTATACAACGCGTACGCAATTGCGTATGTCTATGAGCAAGTCGCTTCGCTATTTCAGCGATTTCAGGTGGCAGCTCGCTCGTTTGCCATCTTATGATATAAAAAAAAACGTGGATATACCTATACATCATATGAAAGAAATCTTACTAATATTATAAATGCAAATGTTTAGATGTATGTTTGTTAGAAGGTGTCTCCAGAATGACTCAACAGATCTTGATGAAATTAGTCATACATATAGAACATAGTCTGGAAGAACACATAGACTAATTATGTTTATTTAAATTCATCGCGGACGGAGTCACGGGCCACAACTAGTGTAACTATATTTGCATAGTTTACAACGAAAAACTAATTTATAACATTTTTTTGTCTGTCTGTCTGTCTGCAAGTTTGTGTTTGTTGCTTATAATCTCGTGAACGTGTGGACAGATTTTAACGGGACTTTAACTGGAAGTTACCTGATGTTATAGACTAGATTTCTTTTCAACACCTAAAGAGTTATGAGTGAAAACTAGGAATATAATATCTTACCTATAGTTTCGTTATGTGGTCCTCTTGGTGCCCATATATTTTGTTCTAACGGATGATATAATTTGAAGCAGAAACCGTCTTTCTTACTTGGTCGTTCTATCACACGGCAAGATGTTAATAACACCGTACCAACCCAATGACTACTCTGTTGGTGTATTATATTAAATTAAATAAATAAAAAAGGTAAAAAAAACCTTATTATAGTATGTCTATTTAAGATATATTAGTTTGATGATTAACTAGATATTTGTTGGGTGAAATCTATTAATAATAATTTCGATTTTCGATGTTTGCGTAGTCCAGTCTTTCCCAAAGTGTGCGATAACGCCCCCTTGTGGGCTGCAGGTGTCAAGTTGCGGGTTATAGTAAAACGTTTCCTTTACAATTCTCCGTTAATATACATATATAGGTCACAGTAATTAATTATTATAGTTAGAATCATTTGACGCAAGCGCACTTTCGTAACAAAGTCTTGTGTCAGATGTAGTGAGGGAACATAAACGTAGATATTTTAATAACGCTAGTGTTGTGATACACCGGCATAGTGCCGGATTTTCTTCATAACAGTATTGAGTAAACTCAAAAACTACAAACCTTTGCCTTGGGACTCTTGTATAACAACAAGATGCCAGGCTTCAGCACGCACCAGAGTTTAGTCCACGATTTTAATGATCCTCGCACCTAGTGGAAATACACCTTAAATTATTATATAACATGTTTGTTTATAAGATTTAGGGGTCAATTAGAAATGATATCATCAGCCCACTATAGTCCCCACTGAGGGTCTCGGAGCCTACCCTAAGTTAACGACTAGGTCATAGTCAACCACGCTGACCAAGTGCGGGTTGACTTCACACATATTTATGACTTTATCTCCAGAACAGCTGCATGGATCTCGCTGAAATTTGTCATAGATATAGAACATAGTCTTGAAGAACACATAGATTACTAATTAAGCTTTTTTTATATTTTTAAGTGGGTAGGTAATTTAATTCTCCCACTGTACCTTTAACCAATCAGCTAGTACAACAACAGTGGGATCTTCTATAGAATGCAATAGAGCGGACGCGGCTCTCTTCTTCTCTCTTCTATAGTGCTGTCTCTGAGCTTTGTAACTCTCTTTGCGAGAGAGTGCCGTGCTAGGCGCGCGGGACACGCCAGCCGCCGTCTCAGATGACTGGAAACATGTCAACGTAAATTAATTTCCTCTATATCGTCAGCTCACTAAAGGTCCCCACTGAGGGTCTCAGTCTACTCTATGTGATACATTTGACTTTTTCAGATATGTGCATCACGATGTTTTCCTTCACCGTAACAACATAACAAATTTATTAAAAACAGATAAGGTTATATCATCAGTCCAAATACTGACATATTGCAAAATAAATACATAGAAAATCTTACTAATATTATAAATGCGAATGTTTGGATGTTTGTTAGAAGATATCTCCAGAACAGCTGCATGGATCTTGCTGAAATTTGTCATACATATAGAACATAGACTGGAAGAGCATATAGGCTACTAAGTTTTTTAATTCCGCGCGAATAAAGTTGCGGGCAACAGCTAGTCAAAGACATCTGAACTGATGAGAGACGCTGCTATCGCGACCTAGAAAATGACGGCTGAAAAAGATCTTGTGACATTGACGTTGAGGGGGGCGTTAGTGAGCTGTCATAATTTAGTTTGACTTATGCCCATAGAGAATGTAAGTCGACTGTAGCGCCCCCATGTAGATACTGACCTTGTCAGAAGAGGTGCCGTCGGGAGGATGGCCCCTGCCGTCGCCGGAGGCGGGCGTGTGCGCGGGCGCAGCACCAGGCGAGCGCGGCGGGGGCGTCAACGTTGTCTCAGCTCCAAAAATAGAATGACACAGTGTTACCCACAACTACACCATACTTAGAGATATCCGCTAGACAGATTGACTTGCAGTCAATTAAAATTAATGACAGCTATCTCCCGCATTCGATATACAAATAAGCACAAAATATGACATAGCTGGTCCATATATAGAAGTCGTATGTCTCGAATAATCATTTTCCCTCAAAATTGACTTAACGAGGACGGAATAGGCAAAGGTAATGTTAAAGCTTTATGTTTCCTGTCTGTTAAATCTTTTACACCACTTAGCACAAGGGGGCATAGCACGAAAATTTCTGGGAAAATATTTAACAAAATTTGTAATAGAATTGTCTATGAAATAAATACTTTCTCGCTTTTCGTAGTAGGCCTCCATCGTGCTACATCTGCAATAACATCTTATTATGCGAATGTTTAGATGGATGTTTGTTTGAAGGTATCTCTAGAACGGGTAAACGGATCTTGATTAATTTTGCCACAGATGTAAAAAGTAGTCTGGAAGAACACATAGACTACTAATTATGTTTTTTTAATTCCTTGCGGACGGAGTCGTAAGCGACCGCTAGTAGATGAAACAATCAACTTTAATTCTATGTTACCTTTACCTACTCTTTTGACTATTCACCGGGTGGCTTAGCCTAATTAAGACTTATTGACCCTACTATTACTTTTTTTTTATTATATCGTAAGGTGGCAAACGAACGAGCGGCCACCTGAAATCGCTGAAATAGCGAAGCGACCGTTGCCCATAGACATACGCAATTGCATATGCGTTGCCTACCTTTAATCGACGGAGAGGATGCACAGAAAGAAAATATCTTACCATTCCATGCATCCTCTCATCCGGAAAGTCCACTACCACTTGCCATCCTTTTCTTATAAGAAAAAGGGTGGGAAGTGAAAGAGGACTAAATTAGGCCTCCGGGACGCACACTCATCAGACTGTAGTTGGAAAAGCTTCGCACTTGACAGCTGTCTTCTGTGTGGTCGTGGTATTTCACTGAGCGAGGCCAATTCGTGCGAAGATGTTAAAGCGGGCTCTACCACTGTTAAACTTACTTAATTGTAAGATAAATGTTAACTCACCGACGGCTGGTGGATTTGTCGAGATAGCGGGTAATACAACGTTCCATTGTGTATTGTTCTGTTTCTGAAATAATCAAGATAGATTTATCAGTAATTGATTAAGTTATTTATTTATCTATCGTGCTAAAGAATCATCGTACATTACTAATATATACCAAAAGAGGAATCTTGGTGGAAACCAATAAGTCCAATGCTTGCCTTATTTGTGTAATTGCCTTATTCGTGTAGATAATAACTAATAGATAATGATCTTATGTGTGTAATCGACTTATTAATGTTAAAATCTGGATGACCGAGATTTGCTCGGTATTTTTTTTAATTGTGTTTTTTGTAAATTATATTTAAGTACGAATTACTAATAAAATGATGAAATATGAATAATATTTTTCGATCTTACCGATAGAAAAAGTTAAGTTTATGTTTAAGTTGATTATTGATCGATAAAACACGAATAAAATGACATTTTCTTAAAATGATTCCTAGCTAGATCGATTTATCGCCCCCGAAACCCCCTATATACTAAATTTTATGAAAATCGTTGGAGCCGATTCCGAGATTCTCGGAATATATATACACAAGAATTGCTCATTTAAAGATATAAGATTATGTTACATATGTAATCGACTTATTTGTGTAATTGCCTCAAATGTGTAATTACCTTATTCGTGTAATTCGGCGTCGACGTGTGGAAGTGAGTACAATCGCCCGCCCGCAGCGCTGGCGATGACGGCGTGGTGGTGGAAGGCGAAGACGGCTCTACTGCTGGAGAGGAGCTCATGATGAGATCACACCATCGGGACGTTGGATGATGGTAGGGTAGGGAACCAGGGTAACTTACGTTGGTAAGGAAAATGACAAACTAATGTAAAAACTTTCGTAATTATTTATTACAAATAAAAGTTATTACTTTTCAAAAATGAATATATCATAGCAAAATAGACAAAATATAGTCTACTTTATTGATTGATGAAGGATTAAATAGTTTTTTTTAAATAGTTTTAGTAGTTTTTGAGTCTATCAACAAATAATATTTCTTTATTTTTAAACATAACAAATGATAAAGACGTGTGCTAAAGATAATGTCATAGTTAAATATATCTTTCGTATTAATTAAAAACATATAATAATATTAAAAACAATGGAATGTCAGTAAACTATTTCATTACATCCAAACGGAATGATTACAGGATATAGGATTAAAGGAATAGGTTAGGTTATGAACCTGAAATAATAAAATTAAGATAAGTTCCAAAGGCACATGACAGGCGATTTGGTGGTCGCTGCGCCAGCGGAGTTAATCTCCATAGACCAGAAAACTCGTGTCGCAGTTGTGACCATGAATGATATGAATTGCTGATGAAGGTAACCCTCTTAATATTTACATTTTGTTTTTTTTAGTATTTCGCTGAATACAAAACAGTTTATGTAAACTTTATACATCTTTAGTCGTGTTATAAAAAAACACGAATAAATTTTTCTGATGCATTACACGAAGGAAGTCAAAAATAACACACTAAAGAGTGAAGTTATACATAATTACGGATGTATGGATCGATGGATATGTTTCCTGAAATATGTCAAAGACATAGAACATAGTATGAGAAAACAAATAGGCTAATATTTTTTTTAATTCCGCGTAGTCCTGGCAGACAGCAAATTATACATGGACTGGATGGATGGAATTCTTCTTAGAGGCAAAAGCCAAAGTAACCATAGCCAAAATAGCCATCTGTATTTATCTGCATATACAGATGCGTTGCCTACCATTACATGGAAGAGAAGGGAACACACAGAAACTGAGTACACGAACTACGTGTCTCGTCTTTGCCAAATCCACCTCACCTTCCCATCCCTTTCTTAGTAAAGGATAGGAAAATGAGGACTAAAGTTAGATCTCTGGCACACGCAGACATCAGATTGTAACCAAGCATTCATCATCAGCTCACTATATGTCCTCACCGAGGGGCTCGGAGCCTACCCTAAGTTAAGGGTGATTAGGCCATAGTCAACCACGCTGGCCAAGTGTGGGTTGGTTTTACACATATCTTTTAATTTCTTCTCAGGTATGTGCAGCATCACGATTTTCCTTCACCGTAAGAACGTCAGCTAAATGTACATATGTAAATCGAAAAACACATTGGTACACGGTGGGATTCGAATCCAGGACCTGCAGATTGCAAGTCAAATGCTTGACCAAGCCACCGACGCTCTTTAACATTAACCAAGCCTCAGTGAAATTATATTCACAAACGCCACGTGACTGTCGACAACAAATTATAATTCATTCATTCTTTATTCTGGATTCGCGACGACACAAAAAACAGAATCAGTATTCTGGTATATATTAATATTAAACAAAGATTGATACAGGAAGGTTATGTTCTCGCGTAGATTTATATAAGTTTATTTGTAACATCCTGTATCGTAAACGAGTGAACAGATTTTGACAAATGAGGTGTCATTCGATTCGTATTCTTACAAAGTATGTCATAGAATAGTCAGTACGGTTTATTCTATTTTAAAACTAGCTGTACCACGCGATTCCGTCCGCGCGGAACTACAAAAAAACATAATTAGTAGCCTATGTGTTCTTCCAACCTATGTTCTATATGTATACCAAATTTCATCAAGATCCGTTAAGCCATTCTGTAGATATTTTCAATCAAACATCACTCCATCCATCTAAACATTCTCATTTATAATATAAGTAAGATGTAAGATGTACAACCAGTCATGTAGAATATTTTAATCGACTGACAAAAGGGCAATGTTAAACACATATCTTCTTATCTACTACATGTGTCTAGTAACAGATGGCATACAAGCCTAATAATTTGACGATAACGACAAAACAAACGTCTGCAAAAAGCCTACGTTTAATAGCTACAAGGTACGTAGAAAAAGGTAAAATGTACAAGAGGAAGAAGAAACTAAAATTTATTTGGGGGAAAACGTCCCGGAAAACCCCAAAATAAACCAAAGTTATCCAAGCTTGTATAATGTTAAAATTTAAATATAAATTATTACTGAAAACGGAATGTTCAGAGGGATTGATGTTTGTAGATATCTCGAGAACGGCTCAACGGATCTCGATGAAATTTGTCATAGATGTAGAACACAGTCTGAGGACAGTCTACTAATTAAGTTTTTTAATTGCGCGCGCATGAAGTCGCGTGCAACAACCAATACATGAATAAAATTACAACTGATAAAATAACCTGTTAAATAATATCAGTAAATGAGGTTTATTACGATGGTAATTACACTTAAAAGGCAAATGTAAAAAATAATTAAAAAAAGAGCTTTTGATCGATTACATAACTGAACAAAACCGATATCTGTGACATACAGGGGAAGGAACGAATATCCCATCCTCTTTCTTATAAGGAAAGTATGAGAAGTAGAAGTAGATTTTCCGGATGCGATGCATGGGAAGGGAAAATATTCTCTTTCTGTGTCTATGGGCAACGGTCGCTTTGTTATTTCAGCGATATAAAATGGCCACTCGTTTGAAAAGAAAGAAAGAAGAATACGATCTAATGAGAAATTATTCGTCAAAATCTGTTCAGTCGTTTAGGCTACAGAGCCGACGTTAGATTTGGGCAGGGTATAACAGTTCAGGGCACTGGGCAGAAAGGGGCGCCACAGAATTACAGTCTCGCAACTGTGTAGCTGGAGTAGTGACTCCAAAGGCATAGTAAAAAAGGCGCGATAGAATCATCAATCGTTCCTTACTAGTTTGAATGTAACTGCAGATAGGCTGTATGGATCTCGCTGAAATTTGATATAGATGAAGAACATAATGGAACATAGGCTATTACGTTTTGTTTTTTTAAATTCCGCGCGGAGAGTTGCGGTAGACAGCCATTTTGAAATACATATACGAAGCTTGAAAAAAATTGCCAAAATTTAAAGTCAACACAATACTATCGCAAAGTTTATAATTCAGATTTTGATAACATTGGATCTCTGGTGGCAGTGTTATCAGTGATAAAGTCACTGGTAATACATTATTATGATTGATTGCGTGTGATAAAGAGCCAAGTTTCCATGGTAGGTGGGTAGAATTAACTTAAAATAACATTTAAAACACGTTTTCACTGCGCTACTACACGCGCGTAACGGCGACAATTGAAGGCGTGACGTAGGCAACATGCCGCTTCAAAACCTTTGTGAACCCAATCAGGTAATAATAACGAAGTAACGGCCCGAGCCGAGGTTCCTGAGGGAGCCCTCGAGTTTAGTTACTCTTAAACTAGGTTTAGGCTAGGCATCTGCACTCGGCCACCTCAAGCCCGGTGAAGGTGTAAATGCCTCCTCAAGGCAAACAGTGCCAATTCAGACACAAAAAACGATGTGAGTTATACCCAAGTGTTGCTCAGGCAATTCGTTTAATTCGTTCGACGCATGCTTCAGGCCTACGCTGGGTCTTCACCGTGCGCCGTTGTACAAATATTTTTGTCTCTTTTCTATCAAAGAGAATGTAATGGATGACAATATATGTCACTAAAGTAAAAAGCTACAGTAACTTTACTAGCGCTGTTTGAGATTTTTTTTTCTTTTTTTTACGTTTTATAAGCTACCGCTTGACCACGATCCCACCTGGTGAAGTGGAGATTTGGTCGAAAGATGGTACGCGCTAGCTTAGTAAGTGCCTATTCACTCTACTGCGAATTTCTAAGGCGAATTTTTTACCATGCCTATCCGGGTTTGTCAACAGGGTTATGTAAGACTGTAATTCACAGACCTATGATCGCCCAATCGCCTACCCTAATGGGTACTGGTAAATGGCATACATTATCCTAACAAATAATAGTTGCGTGTTAATTTCTTAATAGAAAATAACTCTTAAATAAACTACAACAAAAATAAATGTTATTAGGTATAAAAAAAATAGAAAAACCTGAAAAATTTTACCCATAACAGATCTAAACTAAAGTATTTCTAAGATCCTTAACATAGTAAGGAAATATTAATATTCTAAAACCTATTCCCATCATCATAGTGTACACGAGTACGCGCGGTTAATAGCGCAGTGCAAACGAGGTCTAAAAGTACAACCAAAGAGAGGCATGCAAATTCATTTACAAACTTTATAATAGTACTAATAGTGAATCGACCTATTTTATTACACCCGTAGTAATCAACATTAATAATGACTACACAAAATTCCTTGAACAATTAGTACTAATTATTTCGTACCGGTGGTTTACGTTGAAAGAGCGTTAACTCTAACTGGCACTGGTAATCCAATCGATACCAATCTACTGTCTTACTATACTGGCATAATGTAAACAAGACTTGTACTATGAAAGTGTATATTCAGCTACTTTTCTTTCCTAACTTTTTCGTTTAATATAAATAAAGTTAAGTTACTAGCAATGTTTTCATCGAGTGTCGGTGGCTCAGGAGTCAAGCATTTGACTTGCAATCTGCAGGACCATTATGTTTTTCTATTTACATATGTACATTTATCCGACGTTCTTACGGTGAAGGAAGAAGAAATTCAAAGATATGTGTGAAGTCAACCAGCACTGGGCCAGCGTGGTTGTCTATGGCCTAATCACCCTTAACTTAGGGTAGGCTCCAAGCCCATCAGTGGGGACGTGTAGTGAGCTGATGATGATGAATGTTTTCATCAAATCAGAAATAATGTGTTTAATCACATTTTATCTTTCATTCTCTTTGAAAAAAAAACACTTTCTTATAAGTGAAAGTGGTATTGGATTCAACATAGGAGGGGAAGGGTAATATTAACTTTCTGTGCGTCCCTTCCCCTGTCAATTAAAGGTGAGCAATGCATCTACATTATAGTGAATTCAGATGGATTTTACCACCTTATAATATAAAAAAACATAAGGCAATATCTTACTAATATTATAAATGTGAATGTTTAGATGGATGGATGTTTGTTTGAAGGTATCTCCATAACGCCTAAATAGATCTTGATGAAATTTGGCACAAATTTAGAACATAGTCTGGAAGAACACATAGGCTATTAATTTTTTTAATTCCGCCCGAACGAAGTCATGGGCGACAGGTAATATATCAATAATAATTGTCCGATAAAAAAAGTAATATGACTTTTTTCCTGTTTCCCATCCAAAAAAAACTACATTGATAAATATAAATAATTCAATATGCGAGGTAATATGTTGTACATAAAGACAAGATTATTTACATGATAAGATTAAGTTATACAGAGAAGCTACGAGATAACTATGATAACAATTTTGATATGACCTCTTTTATACTGACACTAGCTGGTGATGGCGACTCCATCCATATAGAGTAAAAAAAACCTAATTAATAACCTATGTCGTCTTCCAGACTATGTTAACATCTATACCAGATTTCCAGAAACTTCTATTAAAAATATTTATGTATACAATATACTTGTGCCAACACTTTCATGTTTTAAACATAAAAGCTTTAAGGAGACAACAGATAACCTAATTATAAACAAAACAAATACAATTTTTCTGACATTAAACAAAATATTATACCCCTAGCTATACCATGCACAACATATCAACAATGACTTAAAAAAGAACTTAATAAGTAGCCTATGTCTTCCAGACTATGTTCTACATCTATGTCAAATTTCATCAATATCCATGCTGATGTTCCAGACATATGTTCTAACAAACATCCATCCATCCAAACATTGGCATTTATAATAGTAGCCGTCGCCCGCAACTCTGTCCGCACCACACTCAAAGCCTATCCAAATTAAGAATAGTAGTATATAGGCAACCAGCATGGCTCAGTGCAGTTTAACTAAACACATATCTTTGAATTTCATCTCAGATATGTGCAGCATCACAATGTTTTCCTTCACTTCAATTCAAAAAATATGGTATGGGGCGGGAATAAAACCTAAATATGTAAATTTCGACCGACTAGGTAAACTGACGCTTTTATACTGAAATTAAATGCTAATAAAAATAGTCTTAATGAAAAAATCATTCTAATAAGATTCTTATTTGCTAACTAAGTATACAACTAAGCTTATAGGTCATAACACCTCTCTATAATTGGATTTAACACCACCCTACACAAATACAAAATGTACTTACATGAACAAACTTTATCGACACCGCAAAATTCTGTCATCAAATTAACAGCCTCGGTCTTGTTGCGAAATTCACCGTGAATGTGAACCGGCCCAACATTTCTTCACCTCCGGTAAAAGTCAATAAACGAACGTTTGTTTTATTTATTAGCATACAATTAATTTACTATGTGTTTCCGACGCTTTGCACAATGTACCAATTAAGGTACACAATCGAAATGTAACATACAAGTGACATTAAATCGGTGTAGTCACGAGAAAAACATAATTAATAAAACGGATAATTTCACATCACCTAATTTTTTATCGCACTGTGAAAACCTTTATTTTTTTTATATTGAAATGTTTTAAAATTTTATGATAGTCAAGGCGCAAAAAAAATTCGTTAAATGATGTACGACTTGCAAGTGCGTGACATGATGTGTTGTCAAATTAAAGGCGATATTGAATCGACTCTGACAAAAATCGATGTTACTTGTCTTTTTTTCAGATGATCATAAATATTTTAAAAGGAACAAAGAATTTACCTAAAAAAAGTAGTAGATAGCAGTAAATAGATTTATTTTTATTGTGCCCTATAAATATTATATAGTAGCGAATATAAATACAAAACTAAAAAAATAAGACAGACATTATCAATGTCGATTGACTCGATTTAATACTAAGATTGTGTTGAATAATGTCCCTTTAGTTACTTGAAAAGTCTTAAATATTTGTATTTTACTTACACAACTGCTTTATTGTTACTTTTACTTCATAATATTACGATAAAAAAAATTAACAATATATAGTCTGTTATATAATTTAATAAAGAAATTGAATTTATACTCTACAAAAATCTATCAATCAGTTAAACATTATTTTATATACTCTTTGCAGTTAAACGTCAAAGTCAAAACAATTGTTTACATTTTTATTATTGACGCTCGTTTATAATTTACTTTACAATAACTTACCTATTGTAATTATTTATGGTGTTAAGGTAAACAAAGTTCTCTTAAGAATAGAATAGAATATAAAAAATGTCTTCATTTTTGTGTTTTATATGTCATAGCACAGTAAATTCTGATACAAATGAAGAAATCAGAGAAAAATACAGAGAAGTCATCGGAATGAATGTTGGTAAATCATTTAAAACTATATTTAATTTCGTGTTCCTTACGAACCTAATAAAACCAGGATTAAAATTTTCATATATTTTCAGCTATGTTCAGATTCACATCTATGTCACATCTGTTGCCACATTCTAAATAAACTAGCCTGGTTCAGATCCATATGTCTAAAAAGAAGTTTGGAGTATCCAGTACTATTTCGGTATGAATTACATTTTTTAATGGTAAAAATCTTGATTAACCCTCGCTCTCAAGTGTCATAACAACCCAACCTATCAATCCTACAAGAAAAGAGTATGCTTTCTTTAAAGTCCAATGCATTGCTGCAGTTCCTACTTTGCTCCAGATATTCACATTAAGTGCATCTTTAGCTTGTTCACTCTATTTAACCAAAAACATTTTTTTTTGGCTGTCATAAACTTTGGGAATCACTGATCTAAACTTTCATATTTATAATAGTATGATTAATATTTTCTTTCAGTGAAAAAGGTACATTAAATCTACAAAGAACTGATATAGATTTACAAATATTATGCACAGATAACGAATGCCAAGATATAAATAATAAAAAATATATTAACTATATAAATAGTCAAAGCGATCAAGAATATATAAAATTAGAAGACGAACAAACTGACAGTATATCTTTGGTAGACAGTGAACATAATGATTCTATCAAATTCGACAATAATTATTACAATGATAAAGAACAATTTAATGATGAAAATAATGATAGCAATGAAGAAATTGACGTAACCTTTGATAAACAAGATCCACAATCAGAAGATGTTAATATTAAAAAGAAAATGAAAAAATCAAAGAAGAAAGGTTTCGAAAAGATTGTATTAAGTGTAGAACAACAGAAAGCTGAATTAGAAAGGAATAGAAAACAAAAGAATTATTTGGAATCTGAATTCAAATGTTTTAACTGCGCTTTGGGTTTTTTATTCAAAGATACATATCAGACTCATATGATGAGACATGAAGAGGTAAGGTTACAAGATACTAGGCAATTGACCATGAATCCGTCTGTGAGGAATTAAAAAAAAAATTAAGTAGTCTATGTGTTCTTCCAGACTATGTTCTATATGTATGACAAATTTCATCAACAACTGTTCAGGCATTTTGGAGATAACTTCAAACATCCATCCATCTAAACATTCGCATTTATAATATTATTAAGATAGGCATTTATCAGCGACTTTGTCCACTCGAAATTAAAAAGAACTAGTGATAAATATATCCCATGTCAGCATGGGATAGTGTAGCTTCCCAACTATCATTTCAAATCAGTTCAGTAGTTTCCGAGTCTATCCAATGCAAATAAACAAACGAACAATTCCTTATTTTTTATATTATAATATTACATAGTACTAGCTGTCGCCCGCGACTCCGTCCGATCTGAATTAAAAAAACATAATTAGTAGCCTATGTGTTCTTCCATACTATGTTCTATATGTATAACAAATTTCATAACTATCCATACAGCCGTTCTGGTGATACCTTCTAACAAACATCTATCCATCCATTAAACATTAGCTTATATTAGTAATGTTATACATAGATGCGAATGTTTAGATGTATGTATCACCAGAACGACTGCATGGATTGTTATGAAATTTGTCATACATATAGAACATAATCTGGATGAACACATAGACTACTAATTATGTTTATTTTTATAAAACTTTATATTCCAGTCTAATGGTGAATACCGTTGTTCACTTTGCACTCTTCGTTTCGCAACTCACGCGGTACTTCGTTCACATACAGCGTTACATTCAGAGAGATATCGTTGTATACGTTGTGATGCGTTACTACGTCCCAGAGCGAGAACGAAGCACGCTGGGGAGTGTTACAAAAGTGTTGGAGGTGATTATGTCGCGTGTCATTTGTGTGCTAATCTGTTCAAGTGAGTTTTGTTTAAGATTATTTTGAATTTTACGTGGTATTGCTATCTCTGTTTTTCCTTATAAGTGTGAGAGAGATGGCGATATTGTATGAGAATTTACGTGTTTAAGGACCGTTACACAAACTGCTTTGTTGTACATCATTTGATTCCTAGTCTGTATACACCTTTAAAGGACAGGGGAGGGGACATAGTACACCTTTATACGTCTATCTTTATTATATATATAATTCTTCTGTGAGTGTGTATGTCACTGAACTTCTCTCAAACGACTGGACCGATTTTGATGAAATTTTTTGTGTGTGTTCAAGGGGATCTGAGAATGGTTTAGATTCACAATTTTGTCCGCTGGACAATGTTTTTTAATTAATATTTAATTTATTAGTAGTTGTTGATTTTGGAATGTTTTACATTGGATCCGACAGACGGCGCTACCATCGCAGTGTCAAATTTTAAATAATTTCCGAATTAAAGACGTGTAGACAGGACAACGTCTGTCGAGTCCGCTAGTATATATATATTTACTATTACTCTGATAACGGTAAAACTATTATAATTTATAACATTATTTTGTCTGTATGTCTGTAAGTTTGTGTTTGTTGCTTATAATCTCGGGAACGTGTGGACAGATTTTGACGAAACTTTGACTGGAAGGTAGCTGGATGTACGCGAGAATGCTATAGTCTAGATTTTTTCTGACGAAATCACCAACACTAGTTATATATATAAAGTTGTTTTAGGGACACAAGTGGATTACAACAGCATTTGAGACGGGTACATAATTCTCGCACTGGCAGGGTTTTCCCTTGTTCAGTGTGTGGGGAGACATGTCGTAACCAGGCAGCTGTCAGAACACATATGTTGTAAGTATTTTCGCGAGTGTTAACACTAAGGCAGAGCATTATTTTTTGATGCCATTTCAAAAAAGACTACAAAACTCCGTACCCCTTATTGTAGCACACACACTAATATTATAAATTAGCTGTCGCGACTTCATCCCTTATTGTAGCAATCACACTAATATTATAAATTAGCTGTCGCCCGCGACTCTGTCCGCGTGGATATATAAGAAAACTGAATCAGTGTAGCCTATGTGTTCTTTCAGATGTTCTATACGTATGCCAAATTTAATCGAGATCCGTTCAGCCGTTCTAGAGATATCTTCAAACACCCATCCATCCATCCACATCACATCCACCTAAACATTCGCATTTATAATATTAGTAAGTTAAATAAAAAGCAGCTCTTCAAGGCATAAATTCGAAAAAAATTAATAAATAGTATCCTATGTCCGTCTCCTGGTTCTTTCAGGCATATCGGTAAAGACGTTCTTGAGTTATAAATAGTGTAACTAACACCACTTTCTTTTATATATATAAATGCGAATGTTCAGATGTATGTTAGAAGATATCTCTGGAACAGCTGCATAGATCTTGATGAAATTTGTCATAGATGTAGAACATAGTCTGGAAGAACACATAGACTAATGACAAAGTTTCTAACACCGCGCAGACAGATTTACAGGCAACAACTAAATATGATTTCAGAAAGCATTTAAAGAAGAAATTCTCATGTGAAATATGTTCAGCGGTATACAGCAGTCCGTACACACTGAACCAGCACAAGAAGAGACATCAGATGACAGGGGAGAGACATTACTGTACAACTTGCGGACTGAGCTATTCCACAAGGAAGAGTTTGTTAGCACATAGACGTAACAGTTTAAATCATCAACAAACTGTGTAAGTTTTTTATATAGAAGGCTTAAAGTTTAAAGCAATTAATATATATAAAAGAAAGTGGTGTTAGTTACACTATTTATAACTCAAGAATTGCTTTACCGATATGTCTGAAAATTGTTGAGCAAGTAGCTTAGAGCAATAATAATCGTATCTTATACGCCTCAATTTCTCGATCACTGGCGCTACTTTCAAACTTCCTCTAATATACACATTTTTAACTTTCCTTTCTTGTCACACCACACATCCATCTCAGCATACGCATTTCAGCTACATGCAATCTTCTATAATATAACAATAATATACAAAATCAAAATAAGTTTAATAGTTTCCACACTTAGGGAAAAAACTACAAAACTATTTTCAAAAATTGCAGAACCATCTATTTATGATTCAGTTATTTTTTTCGTAGTTTCGAATGTGGCAAATGCCCTCGTGTACTACCTCACAAGAGGGCGCTGGAGTGTCACGAGAGGAGAGCGCACTCCGACACTACACTACAGAAAACTACCTCTAGACGACTACCTGCTGATAGACGTGTCTGTCATCTTTGCGGGAAAAGTTTTAAGGTACGAAACAAATCAGATAAAAGTTGAATCTTATTCTAGTTTTTTTTTTTTTTAATTATTTTAATTTTCAGGGTAACAGCAAACTAAATAGACATCTGAAAGAAGTTTGCGAGAAAAGAGCGGACGAACAATCTGTAGGACTTTATGAATAAACTAGCGATCGCCGGCGACTCTATCCGCAAGGAATTAAAAAAAAATGTCTATGTGCTGTTCCAGACTATGTTCTACATCTATGACAAATTTCAGCAAGATCTATGCAGCCGTTCTGGAGATAACTTCTAACAAACATACATCCAAGAAAGTACAGATTTGAGCAAAAAATTTGAGCTCGATCTACAATTAATTTGAAAATAAAATTCATTATAATAATATCGTGTTTTTCTGACCTTACTTTTGTCGATTTGATAGTTGTGACGTCACAAAATTAGAATTTTATTCCTCTTTCCCTTACCATTCTTATAAGGAAAGGATGGGAAAAGGAAACTGATTTGATAGACAAGGGATATAGGAAGAGATAAAAAAAATTCTAAACATCCACCGCATCTGCAATTGCAGGTTTAAGGTTAGACGTAACTTCGCCATTTCAGCGAATTCAGGTAACATCTCACTCGTTTGCTTTCTAATATAAAAAGTGGTAACACTAAGGTACATATAAAATTGTCATATTAAAAATCACACGAAATAAATTTTATTCTACAATAAAACAATTGATTTATTTTAAATTCCATTAAATATATGAATACATGCTTACGAATAAATGAAAATAATACATTAATAGTATACAATAATAATAAATAAGAACTTATATATATACCTAATACAGTGAAACCTGGTTAAGTGAGACATACGGCTATACGGCTTCTCATCATATCTAGAGATATAGATCTATTTAGTTGCAGCGAGTCGAAATTCACAGAGGCTGAGTACAGATATGTGGAAGACGTTTGAATATTGATGTTTAGTTACGCCTTTATATATTCTTGCACTGTTTATCTATGTATTTTTTTATTATTTATCATTGTTATATGTTATTTACTGTTATTATAAAATATGTTATCGTATAAACTGTTATGTAAAGTGTGTATAGTGTCAAATTGGTTGTATACTGTAAGGATGGTATTCAGTTTTTAAATAAATAAATAAATCAAGGGACCGTTGCAATGTCGTTTCACTTATAGAGGTATTCCACTTACTCAGTGTCTCAGATATAGAGCTATAAATGAATATCTGTCTCATTTACAGAGGGTTCAATTAGTAGGGGAGTAAATTTGTAATTACGTACTTGGAATTACGTATGGAATTTGTGGGTAGAATCAGCATGAGTTCCAGTTATGGAGGTTTCTCACTTATCCAGGTCCCACTTAACCAAGTTTCACTGTATATAGTAAGTTTCTGTGACTCTCTCTCTCTCTCTATATATATAAAAAAACATATTGTCATCCCTGTCATCAAAACAGAAATAACTATTTAAACGGGAGATTTTAAGTCTCAGAAACCCACAGTTCATTTACATCCCAGTGGATTTATGCCCAAAGGATCAGAGAAACCGTGAATGAGTCAATATTCTAAGCTTGCGGTTAGGTTGAATACAATTTAGTAACTATACCCATCACTAATTAACTGTGTAGAAACTGTCACCCTAAATAATACATAGTAGATTTCTGAAATCAAAAATCTCTTCCCATCCTTTTTATTATAAGGAAAGGATGGGAAGTAGAAGTGGAGTTCCCGGATAAGATGTATGGGACGGGGAATTTTCTTTCTGTGCATCCCCTCCTCCGTCGATTGAAGTTCATTATTATCAGCCCTTATCCATACAGAGGGTTGGCACATGTACTCCTCCATACAACTCTATCAGTCCACATCAAAATATAGATAATATATTTAACCGGGAGATTTAAGTCTCAGAAACCCACAATATACTTTAGTTTTCGAGATGGAATAAAGTTAAATTACTGAAAAACAAACACATCACAACACACACTTTCTATCACAGAATAAAACAATTTATAAGCAAAATAATTATTATAGACGATACGCATTCCTATTTAAAAAAAAAAAAAAAAACAAAGAAATCTTATATAAAAAAAAATGTCTACTTTATGTAGGATATAGAAATTTCATATTTAGTTATGTCTTATTTGTAAAAACTTAAAAAAAAAACTACACCTATTAGCAATTTCTAAAGCGAGAGTCCAAAAGCGATTTTTCTCGCTTAAAATCTCACATCTAAACAAAGTTTCTCGCTTATAGAGGTTTAAGGAGGTTTGACAAAGTGATTACTCCGAAGAAAACTTCAAACTTTAAAAAGTATAGAACTGGTAATAACACGTGAACGGATAAGTCACGTGATTGTCGCGCCTCAGTTAAATACATTCTTGAAGTTCGCTATGGAATCGCTTTATAGCGAATGTACTTTGTCTAAGCCCCAAAGTTCGGATAACGACTCTCGCTTAGTTTCTAGCTTATTCATAACAACATTATGTCTATTTCATTTATCTCTTTCATTCTCTTTCACAAAATAGAGACAGCATTATCACCCTCACTATGAGTCTCAGAGTCTACCCTAAGTGAGATTATGTGATAGTGAATGCTGAACAGATACAGATATGTGCATCACGATGTTTTCCTTCACCGTAACAACATAAAATAAATGTACATTTCTTACATTGGTACATGTCGGGATTTGAACCTAGGACCTGCTTACAAGTGTTTAACCACTAAGCCAACAAGTCAGTGTATTAAATACAAGGCACTAAAGTCTATAAGCAAAGTTATGACCTCATAAGTCAAATTAAATTATGACAGCTCACTAACGCCCCCATGACAATATCAAAAAGTGTCAAGATTCTCTTTGTATTGTTAGGAAGAAAATCCGGCACTATGCCGGTGTATCGCAACACTAGCCTTATTAAAATATCAACGTTTATGTTCCCTCACTACATCTGATACAAGACTTTGTTACGAAAGCGCGCTTGCGGCAAATTATTCCAACTAATGTCTAAAAGTACTAAAATATCATCATCAGCTTACTATACGTCCCCACTGAGGGGCTCGGAGCCTACCCTAAGTTAATGACTAGCCCATAGTCAACCACGCTGGCCAAGTGCAAGACTTCACACATATCATTGACTTTCTTAGATATGTACAGCATCATGATGTTTTCCTTCACCGTAAGAACGTCAGATAAATGTACATATGTAAATCGAAAATGGAAAAACACATTTGTACATGGCGGGATTCAAACCCAGGACATGCAGATTACAAGTGCTTAACTCCTGAGCCATCGACGCTCCTATTTAGTAACATTACGAAATGTCTTTTGACAGTTTTTTGACATTGACATAGGGGCGCTAGCGAGCTGATTTTTTTTTTAAATTATGGTTAGTTAGGCTGGTCCAGATAACTTTGTTGGTATAAAAATAAAATCCTAAGGAAATACCTCGTTATTTACTACAAGCGGGAAGATTAGTTATTTCCGTGTTGACGGCCTTTTTCTTCCGTTGCACATTCGAGTTTCTTATTTTATAAAAATCTTCAGTTTTTTTTATGCTGTAATTATAAAATTAAACATATTAATTAATACGAATATAAATTAATATGAAGAAAAAAAAATTAAAAAATAGGTCCAATTTCTACGAATGAAGGACTCGTAATAATGAAATAAATACTGTATGAAAAATTGAGACAAACATAAATAAGCAGACTTAAGAAATCTACACTAAGGAACATTAACTCTGAGTGTGAATAAAAATCCATTTACTTAAAGGCAATGCTTAGCATTTCCTGATGTCCCAGATCACCCTATACCTGACAAAAATTTGCCCAAATCTCGTAAAAAAAAAACATCTTACCCATGCTCCGATTTCATATGATTTTTAACATCAATAATTCTTCTATATTGTTTATTACAAATGGGACAGTCCGCTACGAACTTTCTTATTTTATGTTTATTCCACATATGATCCCATCTCTGTTTGCATGTACCGAACTTCCTTTTACATACGGGACAAGCAAACTGATACATCGAATGCCTAACACGCATATGTCGTTTCAAGGCGTATTCTGAACACAATGTTTTATTGCATTCAGTACAAGACATCGGATTCATCGGTTCATGGACCTACAGGTGAAAAAACAAAAAAAATTGATATGGAACATCATTTTAGACCTTATTTCCACTAAGAGAATAGCTGTATTGGAAGTACAGTGTCAACCGCTGGTATTATACCAGTTAGCAGTCGCCTGCGACTCCATCTGCTGAGAATTAACCTATTTGTTCTTCTAGAATATGTTCTAAATCTGTGTAAATTTCACCGAGATCTGTGGAGCTGTTCTGGAGATATCTTTTAATAACATCCAAATGTTCGCATTTATTTTAATAAGATTGTTTTATTCCTTATATGTAATGAAGTTCTTACGAAGGTAACTTGTAAGGAATAAGGCAATCTTACTAATATTTTAAATATGAATGTTTAGATGGATGTTTGTTTGAAGGTATCTCTGGAACAGCTCAACAGATCTTGATGAAATTTGGCACAGATGTAGGGCATTACTTAAAAGAAATAGGCTACTTATTAATCTTTTTTTAGGGTTCTGTATGTCGAAAGGAAAAAGATGGAAACTTATAGGATCTCTTTGTTGCCTGTCAAGAACCTTTTTTTCATTCCGCGCGAACGGAGTTACAGACTATAGCTTTAGTCGTGTACAGATAACTCTTTAGTGGAAAAAGACTTTAAATTGAAAATATACATACCGCGAGATGTTTTATAATACTTGATTTAGCACAAAACTTTCCACCGCACAAATCACATATATATTTATGTTGGTTATGCACTTTCCTATGTTTACTATAGTTACTTGAATCACAAAACTTTTTAGGGCACAAACTACAGCGATACACTTTTAGTTGAGCATGATCCCGCATATGCTGTCTCCATGCTGGTAACTCCCGGATGTCCACGTTGCACATTGGACAACGTAACTTTGCATTAGTTTCAGCTATATTCACTTTGGCTTCATGTAATAAGTGTTCAATCAAATGTCGCTTACTGTCGTTCTTCCTTGAAAAGTTTTTGGAGCAAACAATGCATACTTTGTTCTTACTATTTCTTGCATTGTCCAATAGGATTTCTGAAATCAATTAAAGTATTAACTTTAGAATTTTTTCATACCAAAAGGTGGCAAACGAGCGAACAGCCACCTGAAATCGCTGAAATAGCGAAGTGACCGTTGCCCATAGACATACGCAATTGCATATGCGTTGCCTACCTTTAATCGACGGAGGAGAGGATGCACAGAAAGAAAATAACCTTCCGTCCCATGCATCCTCTCATCCGGAAAGTCCGCTTCCACTTCCTGTCCTTTCCTTATAAGAAAAAAGGATGGGAAGGAAAAGAGGACTAAATTAGGCCTCCGGGACGCACACTCATCAGACGAAACGCGGACTTGCTTCCACTTGACGCCTGTCTTCTGTGTGGTCGTGGTATTACACCGGGCGAACCGGGCCAATTCGTGCGAAGATGTTAAAGCGGGCTCTACCACTGTTGAATATTGCGATACTAGCTGTCGCTTGCGACTCCGTTCGCAGTAATTAAAAAATTATAAGTATTCTTCCAGACTATGTTCTACAGTTGTGCTAAATTTCATCAAGTTTCTGTATCAGATCAAAACATTAATTTTCTAAACAATCTAATTTAAAACTACCTCGGAGTCGCCCGCGACTGCGTCTGCGCTGAATTAAAGAAAACATAATTACTAGCCTATGTGTTTTTATAGGCTATGTTCTACACCTATACCAAGTTTAATTGAGATCCATGCAGCCGTTCCGGAGATGCCTACTAACATCATCGTCATCATCTCACTATACGTCCCCACCGAGGGGCTCGGAGCCTACCCTAAGTTAGGGGTGACTAGGCCATTGTCAACCACGCTGGCCAAGTGCGGGTTGACTTAACACAATTGACTTTCTCAGATATGTGCAGCATCACGATGTTTTCCTTCACCGTAAGATCGTCAGATAAATGTACATATGCAAATCGGACATCGAAAGACACATTGGTGCATTTCGGGATTCGAACCCAGGACCTGCAGATTGCAAGTCAAATGCTTGACACCTGAGCCACCGACGCCTTCAAACATACATCTATGTAAACATTAGCATAATATTAATAAAATTTTAATCTTTTAACATCTTACCTAAAGCTTGTTCAACCATTTCCGGTGACATCATACTTTTCATATCACCCTCACCGTCTGACATTTCATCCGCAACACCACCCTCGTTTAATTCCAAATGTGATTCCCAATGTGTGAAAAAATTATCAATATCAACCAATTCTTCGCACAACAAACATATATACGGCTTATTTTCAATATATTGTTCCCTTTCATTTGGTATATTAACGAATAATTCGTTTATATGTAATATTATATGATTATTAAGGTAACGTAATAATGTGAAATTCTTCAAACACTGCGGACATGAGAGATATCTCAACTTATGTTCCGTGAAATGTGTTAAATATTCATCGATATTGTCAAATGTCTTCTTACAATAAGTACAATTAGGATGTTTCTTTTTACATCTTGTTAAATGATTGATGTAGTCTTTATAACATCCTTTATATGTACAGTCCGAGCAAAAATAAGTTGTCAAATCATATTTCCACGTTCTTTTTGTATTTTTTACTATTTTTCTCTTTTTAATACTGGATATTTCATTTATCTTCCAATCGTTTAAATCTATATCGCATTCGTTCGTACAAGTTTCAGATTTAACGTTTGTATTGAAATCTAAGTTAACACCATTGAAAAAATCCATAACTCCATCTGTTACATCTTCATATTCTTCTTTTATGGAATCTTCTTTTTTTATATGTTTCATACTTTCAACATATTCGTGTTTAAATTCAACGCTATTATTAGATTTCTCTTCATTAAAATCACAATTTTCTATTTTCACTGTAACATTATTAAAATTAGATTCTAATATATCAACATCCGATCCAACTCTTTCCATATCAATATTAGGATTCCCTTTATCTTTTCCATCATTTAATTCCAAAGTTTTCTCATCATCTGAATCTGAAATAACTAAAGTTTCTTCATTTTTAACAATTATACAAACATCATTGTCATAAATATCTTCAATCGGATCACTGGCTTCTTTATCAAGAAATTTCTTATAACATTTGGATGCTTTGAACACTTTCGATATTTGCTCTTCAATTTCTATATCTCTTTTTATTTCTGCATCTAATTGCGTTTCAATTGCATAACTATCTGGTTCATAATCAGAATCTGCATCATTTTTAATTATATTGTTAGTCTCTGTTGCCTCGGTTTCATCATGCTCCGGAGTATTCTGAATTTCTTCATTTGTTATTTCTGTGTATGTTTTCTCTGTTGTTTTTTTAATTTTATAATCTTCTATACATAGTTTTGATTTATTCCTCTTTATTAAGGCAATTATTTTAATTGGTGAATAATTCATATATTCTACATCTGCAAGATATTTATATAGCAGTTTATCTGAAATAAATAAGACAATTGATTATATATATATATATTTTTTTATATAACATCTGACCACCTGAAATCGCTGAAATAGCGAAGTGACCGTTGCCCATAGACATACGCAATTGCATATGCGTTGCCTACCTTTAATCTACGGAGAGGATGCACATAAAAAAACATCTTCCCTTTCCATGCATCCTCTCATCCAGAAAGTCCACTTTCACGCTTAGTTTTACATGATATGTACGTACTGTTATTTTGTTTATGACTAGTGCACTCCTAGACCCCGAACTAGGCTCAGCCTAGTTCGGGGTCTGCAAGATACTTCACTGTATATTATTCTAACGTGTTTTTGTGAAATAAATTTATTCTATTCTTCCCATCCTTTCCTTATAAAGAAAAGGGTGTGCAGACTGGACAAACCCTCGCTTATAGCGGTTTCTTATCAAACTGATATATATTACTTTTTTTTGATTATTATTTAAAAATTTCATTTTATTATAACAAAAACTCATCATCAGCTCAATATACATCCCCACTGAGTGGTTAGAGGCTACCCTAAGTGAGATTATGTGATAGTGAATGCTGGTCCAGTGTAAGACTTCACACATATCTTTGACTGAGTGCGTCGGTAGCTCAGGGGTAAAGTACTTGACTTGGAATCTGCAGGTCGTGGGTTTGAATCCCGCCATGTACAAATGTGTCTTTCCATTTCCGATTTACATATGTACATTTATCCGATGTTCTTACGGTGAAGGAAAACATCGTGATGCTGCACATATCTGAGAAGAAATTCAAAGATATGTGTGAAGTCAACCTGCATTTCAGTTTCAGTCAGCGTGGTTGACTATGACCTAGTCACCCCTAACTTAGTGTAGGCTCCAAGCCCCTCAGTGGGGACGTGATATATGCAACATCACTATGTTTTCCTTCACCGTAACAAACATACGATAAATGTACATATGTAAAAACACATTGGTACATGAACACAGGACCTGCTTACAAGTCAATTGCTTAATCACTCACTAAATATGCATTTATCAAAACTTACCATATATTTGTAGCGGTATTACATTGTCAGCTATCTCGCCCTTTATGCATTTCAAAGGTAACATCGTCTGAAATAAAGACAATATGTAAATAGAAGTAAAGAAGAAAGAGCAAAAGCTATTATAAAAATTATAACATACCTTTATAGTATAACGTCTTCTTAGCGTAGAATTTCCATGATTAATCATATGAGTTAAAAACAATTCATTGTCAAGATAAAGCACATTATTTTTACATTTTAAACAATATTGTACCACTTGATAATTCCTCGAATGGTGCAACAAATGTTCAATTAAATAACACTGTTTAAATTTCTTCAAACAATCCAGACATGTGCTGAAATTTTTATTCATAGACATATGTAAATGTAAAAATGTCTTTGATATATATTTATTCCAGCAATATTGACATTTATATAATTTAGGCCGCTTCGGACAATCATGGTATGATGATATATAAAACTTCTCTTCGCATAAATTACATATTTTAGGATTCGTTATCGCTGGTTCATCTGATTTAGGTGAATGATATAAAATCATATGCCTATATAATTTATCTTCAGTGGAATAATACATAGTACATATAGTACATAACATTCTTGTGCTGTCATTTAAATTAACCTTACATGTTGTTTCGTGTTGAGATAAACCCAAACATGTATATAATTGCATCTTACATAGCTTACAACTGTATATCTCCGGGGAGTATCTAGTCAATGCATGATTCCATAAAGGTTTATTACATTTCCAACAGTTTGAATTCACTGTGACTAATTTATTTTTCTTAGGAAAACCAATACTTGCTATTATATTTGATTCTTGACCGATTTCTTCGAGGGTTATTATTAAATTTGGATGTTTATGTATTATAATATGTTGTCTGAACGGATCTAATCTCCACCATCCTTTATTACAAATGTAACATTTGTATAAAACAGGTGTATTTCTGACTCTCGGAAAATTATTATACCAATTTTTCCATAATTCAAGGGCTTTATCCAATAAATTCTCATGTATAGTTCGTGTTGGATTATAATATTTTTGATGATAATTTCTTATGATATCATTTAGAAGGAAATCAGATTTAATTTCTAACAATCTTGATTGCTCTTCGATACCTTTGAATATCGTTTCTTTTGTTAATGTATGTAACGTATTCTTTTGAATGATATAGAATTTCTTATCATTCTCTGAAACAGAAAGACAATTATATTACTAATCTTCTTATTTATCATATTTTTAATATAGTACATTTCATATCCAAAAAAATATACAAAACATATAATAAAAACAGAACACCAACGGCTGCGGAATCCCATGAGTCAAACAACCAGTGGTGAGGGCTGCAGAGACAGGAACCTTCTCACGATGCGCGCGGTTTCTAGGATAACTGCCTTTTATATATTACTAATATTATTACAGCTAAATTTTTTTTCACGCAAACCGAGTCGCGGGCAACAGCTGGTAATATTATAAATGCGAATGTTCAGATGGATGGATGGATCTTGGTGAAATTTGACATAGATGTAAAATATACTGGAAGAATAAATAGGCTACTTTTAAAGTTTTTTAATTCACACAGACGAAGTCGCATGCAACAGCTAGTATATACAATTTTTTTTTGAGCAAGCGGCCATATAAATTCATCAAAATAGCTAAGTGTTTACTGCCCATAGACATCTTTGCAATTTATTGCAGATACTTTGCCTAACTTAACTGTGATAAAACAATCTATACATACCTAAGTCATTACTTGTTTCATTATGTATCCCGCTGCTTGATGGAAATTCACACAAATTATCCTCTCGGTTACATATTGACTCTTCTGTAGCGGAATTAGTATTCTCATCTTCGGAATCATCTATACTAATAACTTGAGTGTAGAATGTCTTTTTGTTATCTCTTGTGTTCACTGTACAAATATTGTCAGTGTTTTCATTAATTTCATTTGTTTCTTGTGTGTTTTCATCCTCTATTTTTTCCACTTTGACATTTACGTTGAACGCAATCTGTGAATTGTCTTCCATATTGTTAGATTTTAACCTCTCATTTTATAGTTGTTAACCTGAAATTTTTTATACCATTTTTTTATACTGGATAGCAAAAACAAGCAACCATTTGTTGCTAAAATACTGCCTCAGAGTAAATTTTAAAGTAATTCAAAATCATATATGTAAATAAAAATCTATTTTATGTTTGTCTCCTATGTTACTCTACCAGGATATTAATCATAATTACATATTATGAAAAATTCAAGAATTTAAACCAAATAACTATTAATTTTATAATTTTACATGTAAACTACGCATTATCTTACTTATTTCAAGTATATAAATAACTGTATAACAAGATGGGTACTAAAATCGTCATTTAACTTTTTAACGAAATGAGGCTATGTCAATTTCATCATATTAAGTTAGGTTATATAAACATTTTAAAAATGTTAATATAAATTTAATATCTATGTAAAATTCCTTCTTTATTTTATATATGTTGTTCATAAGGGGCGATTTACGTAATAAAATTATTTTTGAGTAGTATAATTTTATGCATCTTTTTAACTACCCACAATACGTTAGTTAAAAGATCACAAAACCTATAATATTATTCAAAATCTATATGTATATTTCTTTTCTCACATTACGTATTGCGTATTATAAAACCTAATAAAAATATGGCGGTACCTGACGCTGACATTCTCGTTCCTTCCTTTTTTGAAACTACCATGCATTACTATTTCAGTAATAAACCAATTTCTACATCGTTTTAGTTAACTTAATCCATTTGAATAGTTTTATAGTCCAATTTAATGAAATATTCACTTGTCACAACACTTGTATGAGCTAATGGCGTTGGTAGATATTCAATTAATGTACATAAAAGTTAAGTATTTGCCATATTTTTATGTTTAAGCACAGATTTTTAAAGCACATATATTGTTTTTCATGCGTTATTTTACAATTAAACGTTATTTAGTAACCACATTTATCATTATTGTCGGGTAGTATCAAGTAGTCAAGTACGACAAAATGGAAGGTCAGGTAAAATAAAAAAATGACTATACGACGGTATTCAAGCATTGTCATTTGTCGCAAAGACCAAAGAGTAGGTAGTGTCAAAACCTTTTAATTCAGTAAAAAAATTAACATTTCTCAATTTACCCGATCCTTAAGATCGTTTTCGATTTGCACTAAACTTTATAATGTTAAAATTTCTTTCAAGATAAAAGTTCAAATTATGTTTGGCCACTAAAAGTGGCAACTGAACGTATCTCTTTTTACCTTTTTATGTACTCTTTGATATTTAACTGTCAAAAGAAAAAAAACATAACGTAAACGAAACAAACAACTATTATTTATTATTAAATGAGTTATCGCCCATTTCACGCGTAATTAGAAAACTTAGTATCCTATGCGTTTTTCCAGATTCAGACAGGGATCTACATATATGCAAAATTTGATTTAGATCCATTCAGGCGTTCTGGAGATACATTATAACATCGATCCAAGATCCAAACTTTCTGATTTATATTACTAACTTTTGCCCGGGTATCCAAGCGCGTGCAACTATAACACACTTAGTAAGTAGCATATGTCTTTTTCCTGACTAGATTCTATATCTGTGTTAGATTTCATCAAGATCCATTGAGTCATTCTACCAATGTACTTAGACCTAGACTTACCTTCTAAACTTTCGCACTTCTATTATTAGATTTAAAGTCTGGAAGACTTACAGACAGAGATTATCAATTAGTCTGTATTTTTTATGTGTGCGTCTCCGCCCCTGGTGCTCCAATTTTAATTTTTTTTATAAAGGAAATATTAAAAGACAGTTGCAATTATATTTATTTAATAATCAAGATTGTAACAAATTAAAACATTGTAAGGCTGCAAATGATATTAAGCTATACCCATCCATAGCTTGCACTATTATTTTATTTAACACCTCCATACATTTAATTTCTATACTTTTTGAATCAACTAAAGGATCATTTGAGATTATTTTATAATTTGGATTCCATTTCTTTCTCCAAATATTACTTATGGAACTTTTCTTCAAATACTTCTCATCTTCGGTACTTTGTGAACATATTTGTGAGTTTTGATTTTTAATTATTATATATCTTTTTAAAAGACATTCTAATATATGTAGTATATAAGATAAATTCTCTGTTTCATATATATTATTTATTTCTAATGAATCATTGGTTAGTTGTATTGTGCTTAATATGTTTGTTATTTTTTCTATTGTATATTTTATTATATGATTTGATCTATTTAAAAGGAATAAGCGATTTATGTTGTTATCTTTTTTGAATACCTGAAATTTAATTAAAAATTAATATGTCTCTACTGATTGTGCTTGGAGATTGAATGTGGCTACAAGGGTAGAGGAAAGACCAAAAAAAGTATGGAATGACTGTGTAAAAGAAGATATGCATAAGAAGGGGGTAGACTCAAATATGACGGCTGATATGATATGTATGGAGGAGTACACACTGTGCCGACCCTCGATAGGGATAAGGGCAGGTTGATGATGATTGTGCTTGGAGCCGACCCTAAGTGAGACTATGTGATAGTGAATGCTGGTCCAGTGCGGGTTGACTTCACACATATCATTGGCTTTCTCAGATATGTGCAGCATCACAATGTTTTTCTTCCTGGATGTTTAGATTTCAGTACTGTCCGAATAATTGCTTAACAACTGTGCATCCTGACATATCTCTATGTATTAATATAACTAGCTGTCGCCCGCGGCTTCGTCCACGCGGAATTAAAAGAAAGCTTAATAAGCCTATGTGAGTTTTCAGACTATTTTCTACATGTGTGCCAAATTTCATCAAAATCAGTTGAGCTGTTCCAGAGATATCTTCAAAAAAACAATCATCCATCCATCCAAACATTCGCATTTATAATATTTAAAAGCTTGCACTCGACTCACTACTTTGGGTCATATGATTTGCATGTATGTTGGTTTGTAATTGTAACATCCTGAATCGTAAACGAGTGAATAGATTGATATATAAACACGGCTAAACACTCGCGTATATTCGTCCGGTGGCGGCACCGACTAGTTTCGAGCCCATCGGGGGCCCTTCATCAGGATGAGTGGTACTCACTTGAAACTAGTCGGTGCCGCCACCGGACGAATATACGTTAGTGTTTAGCCGTGTTTAAATATCACTTTAGTATAATGTGACACGAAAGTTTGAATAATTTGAGTGAATAGATTTTGACAAATGAGGTGTCATTCGATTCGTATTCTTACAAAGAGTGTCAAAGAGTTACAGTTAGGTTATTAGTATTAATGTTTTTTTTTAAACTTACATCTTCATCATATGATTCACCTTCATAAATATCTTGAAGTAAATTATCAATTGATGATAAAACTTCTTCTAGGAACAAAAAATATTTTTCTTCAACATATAATTTGTCTATCAAACGACCTAACACCTATTAAAATAAAATTACTTTAAAGTTTCGTAAGAATACGCCAATGGCCTAAAGGTACGTGTCCATTTTCCCGTACGGACTCACCGGATGGCCCGCAATTTTAGTTTACTTTGTTAGACAAAGCAAATCCGTTTAATCCGTGCGTGCGGTGCTACTGACGCGGAACAATGGACGCGTAGCTTAAGGGTCCAGTTTCATTGGTCATTAACGCCCGCATACGCATGCGGTGCTAGAGAGATTTCCTATTCACGCATTCCATAACGCTCACATGCGAGTACTAGTCATGGTAATTTGAATAAAATTGATGATCTGCAGATCACTTCATAGTTCAAATGATTGAAGCTATGTTTAACTGGATCGTTGTTCAGCTCAATTTGTTCCTGCGTAGTTATGATTTGCATTTGTAGCCGCGAATTTAGTTATTGAGGTGCAGTCCAACGGTTCAAGTCTGTGACCTAAACTTTTGATCCGGTTAAGAGCTGATTTACACAAATCTAACGAGAACCGTTTCATTTAGTTATTAGTATTCGCATGCGTTGCGGATAGTCCGTACTTTTCGTAACGCATTTGCGTTAATCTTTAGACCTTATGCCGGGACTTTACGCATAACGACCGAGTTATCGACTAATGGAAATGCGCCCTAATAAGTTCCGATCATATGCTTATAGGTTCGATTTCCTTTCTCCGTCGAAAGCTTAGTTTAAATGGTTACAAGAAATATTAATAAGGTTCAATATTGTGCAATTTTTTTCATAATTATTAATTCAATGTTTACTTACCCAAGATATTTCAATAACAATTTCTTTAGCGGCCAAAACTAATGGACTGTTTAATATAAAATTAATTAGACTTCTAGCAGAATGGTTGACCAAAGTATCTTGGGTTTGTTGATCTGAAAATTTATAACTATAATTTTCTTATATTGTCGTTTCCGAGTGAAATAAATCAAGTTCAAACAAAATTCGTTACATGAAAGAGAGAGGAGATACAATATTTATGGGAGAAAAAGAGAGAGCCTTCTAATTTAAACACGAGAGAGAAGGAAGATATATTGTAGTTTGAAGAAAAGAGATGCAACTAGTCAACAAACTTACGCGATTTAAACGAACTTCTGCTTTGCGAATCACTTTTATATCCAGAATCCGACCAAGAACCATCACTTTCTTTATTTTTTCTTTCTAAATATATTTTTAATCTATTCAATTCTTCTATGATTTTAAACGGTACTATTTCGAATTGAGAATTTTTGTCTATATTATCTGTGAAATTAATTTCGTCATTTTGTTTTTGAATTTGACTATTTATATCTTCAAAATCTTTATTACTTGGTTTATTAATTTCAATATCTTTAAATGTGATATCATTTAGTTTGTCTAAAGATTTATTTCGTATATAATCAGTGTTTTTATATATTTGTGCTTGATATGTGTCATTTTCTTTATTTTGTTGTTTTTGTTTCGTTTTTGTCCAGTCTTTTGTTTGATATAAAAGATTTTTTTGAATTTCTATAAATTGAGTTTGGCTTTGACTTATATGTGTGAAGTGTTCTGTAAAATCTTCAGTGCTATGAGTTTGTTGGTTATCGTAAGTTATTTGGTCATCTGTCTTAGTGTTTGTAGAAACTTTAATATTTATGTTATTCGTATTATCTTGTTTATCTTTATTAGAGATTTTCGTGTCAGCAAAATCATTAATTTTAGACGTATTAATAATTCCTTTGAAACTATATAATTCTGTTTCTTGTGTGTCAAATGCTTGTGTATTTGAATTATTAAGATTATTTACTTTATTTGTAAATAGGTTTTTATCAATATTTCCTTGTGAAGGATTAGATGTATCGTATTCAGTGTTTTCTTTATATATGTTCATTTGATTATTAAAATTGTATACTACAGTTTGTTGAGAATCAAATTGGCTTTGAACATTGATATGGTTTAAAATATTTTCATTGTCTTTCTTGTTATGTTGTTTTAAATTTACTAAAATTTCATCTTTTTGTAAGTTTTGACTTTGTACATCTTCGCAATAAGTTGTTTGTGTATTTTGTTCTTCGTTATTTATCTGTAAAATACGATTGAAAGTACATAAGCGTCATCATCAACCTTTATGGGAGGGCACAGTATGTACTACTCCCGTACTGAAATGTTTTGGCTTCCAATATTTTCGCTAGCACGCTGCCTGTCTGACGCCAACCCCTCCTCGAGACTAAGCGTTTTACAGAATATCTTGTCACTACAATTGCTGATCTAAAGATGGGTGTTACTAACTAGCGGCCTGGGCCTGGTTATGTACTTCAGAATACTAAGGTGTCGGAAATGACGATAAGGTAGGGCAAGGTAGGGCGACCTACCATGGCACTGGGCAATAAAGGGGAGCTTGAGGTGTGATATCCTATCTTTGGAAAATTTCTCCCGATACCATTAAAAACGGGACGCCGCAAAAATCTCGCCCAGGGCGCTGGTGTTATGGTCCTGAAGGTACAATCCTACATAGATGTAACTCAAAGAGCAAATGAACTTGGGCTGCCAAGATATTTGGAAATAATAATATCAGACTAGCAGTTGCCAGCGTCTTCCGCGAGGGATTAAAAAAAACTTAACAAGTAGCCTTTGCGTTCTTTCATACTATGTTCTACATCTTTACCAAATATCTGTAAAATCAATGCAGCGGTTCTGGAGATACCTTCTAACTAACATCCATCTAAACATTCGCATTTATAATATTAGTAAGAATTAAAATATGTTCACGCATCGCCATGTTTTCCTTAATTATAAGCGTTTGAAGAAATGACAAGAAATACCTCGTTATTAATTCGATTATTCTCCATATCCTTTGATGAGTTTGTAGTTATTTTAATTTCTTCTATTTCTATTAAATTCATATCCACATTCAATCCTTCTAGAATGTTCACGCTGACGTTTGTCGTTTGCGAATCGTTTAGATGTTCATCAACATTGTTTCCATCATCTTTTTCAACATTTTCATCATCAAATTTGAAATCATCACTGCATATAGTGACGTCCGAATCGAAATCCATTTTATCGATTTTATTTCTTATTCGATTAATATATTCCTCTATTGTTAGATTATTCGGTTTACTTTTTATAACGGCTATAGCGATTGCTATTTGATATTTCAACGTCACCTGTCGTGCTGTAAAAGGAGTAGTCCAGCAACAACATTAGTTGCATGAATGGGCCTCGTCCGCTGCAATACCACGACCACACAGAAGACACGCCTCAAGTGGCAGTAATTCCGCGTATAGATGAGTGTGCTTGCCAGAGGCTAAATTTTAACCTTCGTCAACTTCCCAATCTTTTCTTGTTAAGATGGGAAGGAGAAGTAGATTCGACGGAGGAGAGGACGTATAAGAGACTATAAGCCTATGACACTCAGGGGAATACGAATCAAATGAACCTCACTCAACAAAATCAGTTAAGCTGATAAATATCCATCCATATCAGCCATACATACATTCATGTAGCCATCTACAGAAACGTGTTAATGGAGTAAACATACGCTTAAAAGATCACCCTCTACTCGTAAGGTAAGATAAATTGTTAAGTAAATACCAAAAAATAAAAAGTTAGGTTAAGAAATGTTGGTTTAAGTTTCTTTCATACTATTATGATTTAACTAGAATTTTTTCCGATATTACTTAAGCTAAGAAGTAATTTCCATACATGACATAAAGATTTAAAATATATCAAAAATTTTAATTTAACGGTCTCTAATTACGTAAAAATGCAGTTAAAATATTATAATATGCAATATGCTTACCATAATCATCAAAATTCATTTCGTGGCAATCTGGGATTACTTTTCTTTATTGTATTCATTTTAACATATCACAAATACAGACTGCTCAAATTACGCCGGCAAAGCGGCAAAACACAACTTTAACAAAACAATTTTTTTTATTAGATATGACAAGCAAAAGGATTTTTAACGCTTTGTAAGGAAATTAGTGTTCGTAAAAAATACGTTTAAAGGATAAAAGTAATGTTTATAAACTTTAAGTTATATAAAATCATCTATAAAACAATATTTGTACTTATTTTTAAAATAATATGAATATTAACAAATTGAATGAAAATTTTAACAATTTAAATTAAAAATCAAAGTTGAAATTGGATGTAAATTTGGCTGTATTCACAAAAGCCTTTAATAAAAAAAAACTAAAATTAAAAATAACAAATTTACGTAATGTCAAAATGTCATTACTTTTTGATATTTATTCAAGTTTTATTTATTACCATTTGGAAAATGCATTTATATTACAAGTTAGATATATTTAAATGGCTCTTTATACAATATTATTTGGGATCAGTATTTTTATGATAGCTCTGGTTATCGCAGTTATTGAAAATATATTTTTCCATTGGAAACACGAACATACTATCGAAAGGACTTCTTTGGTTGCTGTCGAACGACCAGGTGAGTTGTTTTAATTATTAAACTAATCAGGTGTGCCAGGACTGTGTCATATTGAAATATACAACTCTGCGTCCCTTGTCTCGTTTGAATTGAACGTTTAAATTATGTAAACAAATAAATGTCAAATATGCACAGCGGCCATTACATTGTTTCATATTTTCAGTTTTCTTTAATTCCATGAAGTGAAATGGTAATATGTGAATAGCTAATATTATAAAGTTATGTAAGAAGTAGTTTACCGGAAATATTTTGTAATTTACTGCTGTAAAGAAGTGGAACAAGTAACCCGCGTCAGTGATTCCATCCAAGTGTGTGACTTTTAAACAGTAGATTGAACTTACTGAACAAGCATGCTGAATATAATACAATTGCAGATATCTTTGAGCAGCGCTCGCTTACTATTTCATCAAATTCAGGTTGCTGCTAGTATGTATCATCATCATCATCATCATCAGCTCATACGTACCCACCGAAGGGCTCGGAGCCTACCCTAAGTTAGGGGTGACTAGGCCATAGTCAACCACGCTGGCCATGTGCAGGTTGCATCACGATGTTATCCTTCACCGTAAGAACATCGGATAAATGTACATATGTAAATCGGAAATCAAAAACCCATTGGTACATGGTGGGCATTCGAACCCAGGACCTGCAGATTGCACGTATGCCACCTTTTAATATAAAAAACATAACGAGATGGTGAAGTGTTTTGTTTTACAGCGGTCAGTTTGATGATACGTACATCGAGATGTTTTTTCAAATGTCGCCAGTACGCAGATGGGAGTTGCGTGTACGACGTCATAGACAAATCGGATTCCCCGAGTAGCGGTTTTGAATCTGTGGCCAACTGACTTTTTTTTTCTAAGTGTAAATAAATGACAGTTAAATATTAAGTGTCAGTTTTATTCGAGTAGCTGTCGCCCGCGAATATGTCCGCGCGGGATTAAGAAAAAAAAACTTAATTAGTAGTAGCCTATGTGTTCTTCTAGACTATGTTCTACATCTATACCAGATTTCAGTGAGATATATGCGGCCGTTCTGAAGATACATTCTAACAAACATCCATCCATCAATCCAAACTTTCGTATTTATAATATTAGTAAGATTTGTCTACCAATGATAAAAGGCGTATTAAGAAATTTTGCGGGTAATTGTGTTATATTGTGATTTTATAGAGGTGTAATTCGATCCCTATGTGTCCTAAAATGAATTCAGTGAGTCAATTTTTAGGGTTCCATACCTCGAAAAAAAACAGAACTTATAAGATCACTTTGTTGTTCGTCTGTTTGTCTGTCAAAATCATTTTTCTCAAGGACGCGTGAAAGTATCAAGCTGGAATTTATTTTCAATCACTTGAACATAAACCGTGAAGCTTTTAAAAGCGTCAATAGCCTAATGGTTAAGGGTACGGATTTCCGACCACGAGGTCGGTGGTTCGAATCCCGACATTCGACTATTATCGTAAACCATATCCTAGCACAAGCATAGAGCTTAGTTGGAATGGTACAAGAAATATTAGTAAATTTACAAAAAAGTCTGCTAATATTTTTATATTATTATATAAAAAAAGCTATATTTTTCACAGATTAAAAATAAAAAGCAGTTAAGTATATTTTTTATTAATATTCAAAATGTTCATATAACATTTATTATTATATCTTCTTTTTCTTCTAGATTAGCGAAAACAACCGATACCGTATACGCTATTTATTTTTATAATATCAATATCGGACAGTAACTTTAAATGTTGGCCCAAAGACCTCATTACGTTGCCGTCAGGATCCTGTGGGTAGGTAGAAAAAAAAACTTTAACCAAATTACAGCATATTTTGATATTACGAAAACAGTGGTAGAGCCCGCTTTAACATATTCGCACGACTTGGCCCGGCTCGCCCGGTGAAATACCACGACCACACAGAAGACACGCGTCAAGTGGAAGCAATTTCGCGTTTTCGTCTGATGAGTGTGCGTCCCGGAGGCCTAATTTAGTCCTCTTTCCATTCCCACCCTTTTTTATAAGGAAAGGATGTGAAGTGAAAGTGGACTTTCCGGATAAGAGGATGTATGGAAATGTTTTCTGTCAGTGCATCCTCTCCTCCGTCGATTAAAGGTAGGCAACGCAAATGCAATTGCGTATGTCTATGGGCAACGGTCACTTCGCTATTTCAGCGATTTCAGGTGGCCGCTCGCTCGTTTGCCACCTTATGATATAGAAAAAAAATCTTATAGCCAGTCCATTTATAGAGTTCAGTGCAATAAACTTTGTTTTTAATATACCTTATCTTTATAAGTTGCTACAGTAGAAATGCCAGTCCTGCCAACTTGTCTCCAGAACTGCCAAGCGGGGTGTGTAGCGCTGTCGTAGTCGTACGGCAGTGGTAAAGTAGCTTCAGCTCGCATCTTCTCAAAATGATGTAGCTTATCTGAAATATAGGTTCGGTTTATCGACTACCCTCAGATTATTAATTGGTACTTGATTAGTGTAAATGTGGGTAGATGTAACATTTATTTATTAACCGTAGTTTTTAAATGCGTGCGTTGCACAGGTGAATTTAAATAACATAAAAAATTGATAATACTTCCCGTTGGTTTCTGAAACCGAAATGTCTTTAACAAAACAAATATAACAATATGTTTTAATCAAGGATTTTGGTCTCAGAAGCTCACGGTTAGACGTATAATATATCTGATTGACTGTACTCCTGTCGAACTCATTGAAGAATTGAAAATTAGCTAACCCGTTTATGTTACAAATGATAAATCTAGCCAAAAACCGTAGTGTCAACTCTTATGTAAATCCAGCTCGAAGGACCAACCTGGTCTGATATGTCGCACGTGCACTCTGATATATTTATCCCGGTCATGTCGCGCTGGCTCGAAGTAGAAGCCCAGCATTGACATCACCACCATAGCAGCATGCTGTCTGTGCTGTTTACCTTCGAAAAGCTCCAATACTCCGAAATGCTTGAAAGAATACAAATATTACTATAGACCAGTAAAAGCTCTTTATTCGCGGGCTAATGTTCAATACGAATACAGAAATAATGTAAATACAGAAACCGTGAATAAGGAATGGTATGAAATTATAGGAGATATGTTTACACAATAAAGTCTTGTTCAAGGTCAGTCGTGATTTTCAAGATGGCGGAGCAATTCTACAATTGACAGCTAGTAGCTATGCTTGGGCTAATCGAATAGAAGATTCGCGTCGACTATTTAATGTGTGTACAGAGCAAAATGCGATATTTGCGACACAAGTAAGAAAATGCTTTGTGTACGAAAGGTTTTAGGGTTCGGTTTTTGTACAATAAAGTGGGCACTATTAATTGTAAAGTTATCAGTCACTTATTAATAGCGCGTCATCTTTCGACATCACTTGACATCAGATGATTAGTCAAGTTTGGTTTAATCGTAAGAAATAGTGTTTCAACAAACTCGTAGTGGACTGATCTGATCTAAATCTATCGAAGTGTTTCTCAAAAATAGCAAACGCTATGCAGTTTCTCCAGCTATGAAATTTATAGGCTTAACACAAAACTTCTACCAATGAGCTGATATATAAACACGGCTAAACACTCACGTATATTCGTCCGGTGGCGGCACAGACTAGTTTCGAGCCCATCACACAGTGAGCGACGAGCAGCGTCCGCGAAATAATACCAGTACCACTTATCCTGATGGGCTCGAAACTAGTCGGTGCCGCCACCGGACGAATATACGTGAGTGTTTAGCCGTGTTTATATATCACTTTAGTATAATGTCTACAAAAGTTTGAATACCTCTACCAATGACTTTAAGTCAGTCATGGTCAGACATGGCTAGTGCACTCCTAGGCCCCGAGATACAGGCTCAGCCTAGTTCGGGGTCTGCAAGATACTTCAATGTATATATATTATTCTAACGTGTTTTTGTGAAATAAATTTATTCTTATTCTGATTTGATGTTGGGACATAACAGTGTTTAAATTAGAGTATTAGGGTCGTATTATATCTTGTAACCATTTCAACTGAGATTCAAACCTACAAACACGTGATTGGATGTCTGTGCCATTAGGCTATTAGCATTTTTATCCACGAGTCTCATTTTACTGTTCGCGTTGTATTAATTGTCGATTCTGTAGTTTAAAAGAAATAAAACAACGCCCCAGTACAACAATTATTTAATTCTAAAACATATTACTAAATGAACAAGTTTGCAAAAAAAATTGTTTTAAAGTATCAAATGCACTAATTCACTATTAAATCCGATTAAAAAACACTTTCGAAACACAGTTTTTTCAAATTTAGAATTTTTCATGATCTTTGATGTCTTTTGACGTCCATCTTGAAAAGCATATTTCGCGCCTTTTTGCACTTTTTTCTTAAGTCAAATGCACCTTTCAGCCAATAAGATTGTGTCAAATGAACAAATTTTATTACATCCGTTTTTTAATTTGCAGATCTTTCTATAATGCTAAAAATTTAAATAGAATATGTAGCTAATTGTTAAAAGCATGAAAACAAATATCATAAGAACAAATACAAACATAGTCTGAAGCAATTTATATGTTTATTTAAACAAAATAACGTTCAATTTTAAAAAATTAAAATCCAAAGTAAACACACGTTAAGAGAAAACTTTTTAACTATTTTTATGAAAAATTTCGTGAACGTGTTTCTGAACCAGCCAGAACTTTATCCTTAAAATAAAAAAATCGTTGTCAATGAATTATGGTCGAATTTAGACCAATATTCATTGGCCACAAATTAACTGAAAACTTTTGATATTCATTTTCATAGCATAGATATCTTCAATAAGTAGATTTTGCTTCAAACTATATTATCTTTGCGAGTAATTAAAACACAAACATAGCAAGCTATTTAAAAAAAACAATAATTCAGAAGTAATATAAACTTACCGAGAAATTTTTGAAATGTAACATTTCGAAAGAAAATCCTTTATTTATTAAAAAAATCACATCATGAACCATCGATTTAAAATTATTCATTCATCATTCTCCACTTCTTCTATAGCTGTGTCATTTTCTTCTGTATTATCACTTTTTTGCCTCTTCGCTGTATGTCGAATGGAGTTAAATCTTCTCATAACAAAAGACCAATGTGTCAGTAACTCTGACATCTTCCTCTCATACTCTTCTCTCAAGCAATCTGGATTCAATTCCAACCATTCTATAGCATCTTTGCATTCCTTAGTCAATGTTGATATTTCTTTGACAGATAACATTTCGATATTCTCCGACACAGTTTGTTTCACGCTATAAACATATCCTTCCAGTTGATTCCTCACTTCTAATCTTCTTTTATTCTCTCTATCTTCTTCTTTGAATGCCTCAGCATCTGCTATCATTTTATTAATCTCTTGCTGGTTCAATCGATGTTCATTTGTCACAATTAATCCGTTTTTGTTGCCCGTACTTCTATCTTGTGCGTAAACTGATAATATTCCATTAGCATCAATATCAAAAGTTACATCTACTACAGCAATACCTCTTGGAGCTGGTGGTATGTTATCCAATTCAAAGACACCTAATAAATTATTGTCTCTGGTCAATGCTCTTTCACCCTCAAACACCTCTATGGTCATACTTCTTTGGTAATCCTCTAATGTTGTCAAATCTTTGGTCTGACGACAAGGGATTGGTGTGTTACGATCAACTATCTTATACATCATTCCCCTAGCTGTTTCAACACCTAGTGATAATGGCACAACATCGACAAGTAAAAGATCCTGTATCTTCTTGTGCCTTTCACCAGATAATATAGCAGCTTGGATCGCAGCACCACAAGCCACTGCTTCTTCTGGATTCAATGTTGATGATATTGATCTTCCATCGAAATATTCTTGAACTAATCTTCTTATCTTTGGTATTCTCGTACTACCCCCAATAAGTATAACATCATTGATATCTTCTTTCTTCATTCTTGCTTCTTTTAAAGCTTGCTCCACATATTTTATAGTATCTAAAAACAAATCTGAACATAACTCTTCGAATAGTGATCTACTAACTTTACCCGTGTAATCCAAATCGTTGTACAATGATTCGATTTGCAACGTTGCTTCGGTGGCAGATGTTAGAAATCGTTTGACTCTCTCAGCGGCAACTTTGAGTCGACGGAAAGCTTTCGCATTGCTTATTATCTCTTCACCGTAACGCTTTTTAAAATCTTCAGCGAAGTAAACTGCTAGACGATTATCAAAATCTTCACCACCAAGACGTGTGTTACCAGCCGTCGATTTCACTTCGTACACAGGCCCACTAGATATTGTTAACACGGAAACATCTAATGTACCACCGCCTAAATCATAAATTAATACATTTTTTTCGCTCCTAACATTTCTATCCAAGCCATAAGCTAATGCCGCTGCGGTTGGCTCATTAACAATTCTTAAAACATTAAAACCGGCAATAACTCCCGCAGCCCTAGTCGCTTGTCTCTGGCTATCGTTAAAATACGCGGGAACTGTTATAACTACATCATTGACTTTCCTTTTTAAATATAATTCAGCCACCTCCTTCATCCTGAAAAGTATCATAGCACTTATTTCTTCGGGCGCGAACGCTTTCCTTTGATTCTTATAAGAAACAATAATTTTTGGCTTACCCTTGTCGTTGATTACTTCGAATGGCCAATGGCGTAAATCCATTTGCACCGAAACGTCGTCATAACGACGACCTATCAAGCGTTTCGCGCCAAAAATTGTGTTTGTCGCATTTGAAGTCGCCTGATTCTTTGCTGCCTCGCCAATGAGACGTTCCCGGGTCGTAAACGCGACGAAAGATGGCGTCGTTCTGTTACCTTGCTCATTTGTTATAACTTCCACTGAACCTTTCTTCCATACCGCCACACACGAACTGGTAGTACCCAAATCAATTCCTATTCCGACCATTTGAAACGTTTTTTACACGCACCAATGTTTGCCACTTCACAGTAGTGTTCGAAACTGCCGCGTAGACGCGCTGACCTGTATTTATACTTTCACCAATAGCATGATAGAATTTTCGAGATCAATCCGCGTAGTAACCAATCAGAAACCGGTATTCGTAGAAGTTTCTAGAATAGGGTTGCCAGATGGGAGAAATTTATTTTTTACTTTTGCATTAAAATTTTAAATTTTGTTTCTTTTTTTGGAAAAGTCATAAACTAATATGGAGATAAATGTTTCATAAATAAGAAAAGATGCCTTAATCTTAATTGCATATTTTAGTATCGAAATATGCTTAGAATTATTTTAAATAATTGCAGAAAAAAATTAAATATATCACAAATTTTATCATTAAAGAAGAAACAAACGTATTATATACCGCTAATGAGAATAAAAACTTTATTTGTTGCCACAAAGTTTTCTACCAATAATAAAAACTACGAAATTGTAATTTTGTGTTTTATCTGGTCACCCTACTACCGTCTTTGACGTCAATCTGTAACGTCAATACGTTCCAACATCCAACTGTTTAATGTTTATCAAGCTATCCTTTTCTTTCACACGTTTCAACAATATAGTTGTCTCTTACAGTATTTGAACATTTTAAATATCTGTTAACTATGTGTCGCCGGCGACTTTGTCCGCGCAATTAAAAATACTAAATAAGAAGCCGATGTGTTCTTCCATACTATATTCTACGTCTATACCAAATTGCAGCGAGATTCGTTATGCCGTTCTGGAGATACCTTCAAACAAACATCCATCGATCCATATAAACATTCGCATTTATAATATTAGTAAAAAGTAAGATAAATCAATACTTGGTAACGTTTGTTAGATTTTTTTAGTGTAAAATACAATTTAAAAATATTAAAAGTTTGAAGAATATTTTGCAAAAAGCCTCCCCGGCGGGGAATCGAACCCCGGTCTCCCGCGTGACAGGCGGGGATACTTACCACTATACTACCGAGGACTTGAAAAGAAATGCGAAATTAAATTACGAAATCTACGGAAAAAATTCGCATTAATTATCATTTTATGCCTTTTTTATTGAATAAAAGCTAACAAATGAAATAAAAAAGATTTGATTTGATCACTACTTTTGCATAGACAACATTGTAACAATAATCACCAACATTAAAAACTGAACTGACGGCAAAAGCATAACTTTTTAGTTATTTCCTAAAAATAAAATATCTTGGTTAAAATAAAAGTTAAGAAACTTCTAGACATAATCTCTTACTAATTTTAAAATTAAAATCATATTGACTCATGAATTATTTATTTTATGTCTACAAGAGTTCCATTTACCATCTTACTGTTAAAGAAAAACAAATCTTAACACTGTCGAATAAGATTGTTATTAGCATCTACCAGACCCTAACTCCAGATACACGAAATATTTTCTTAATGTGTTTTCTAGAAACATAAAAGAATTCTGGAATTTTCTCAAACTATAAAAACCAAGAGGTTTTAAAATTTAAATGAAACAAGTCAAAAATATTTGAAATCAAATCAAAACAAATTACGTAACAACGCCATCTATTTAAAAGTGTCAGTCCAAGATGGCTGCCGAAGCATGAAGTGTTAAAATTTGTCAAAGTATTATTATATATTAATTTAATTTACATCGACAAGAGATATTAGTTATTGTGCATATATTTGATTAGGTAAATAAGTTTTTCTTTTAATTTTTAACCATATTTTTGTAACAAATATTCTATTCACCAAAAGAAAATGTTGAAGAAATCATCGTTAATTGTAAAGCGGTGAAATGACTGGTGAGTTTTTTTTTTTTAATTCAAATGTGTAAAAGACCTTTAGGTTTTTAGGTCATGACTTTTAAATCTTACTAATATTATAAATGCGAATGTTTAGATGGATGTTTATTTGAAGGTATCTGCAGAACGGCTGAATGGATCCGGTTGAAATTTGACATAGACGTAGAACATAGTCTGGAAGAACACATAGGCTATTATTTTTTTTAATATCACGCGGGCGGAGTCGCAGGCGACAACTAGTGTAAAATATAAAACGTTGAAATGACAGGTGAGTTTTTTTTTTAAATTCAAATGTGTAAATGCCCTTTAGGTTTTTAGGTCATGACTCAATAGTCTGATATATTTTAAAATTGATTTATAGCGTACGACATAATTGTTGCTTTATCAAAGGTCAACAACGTTTAATATATGAAAGTTGATGGACAACTTTTTTATATTTAATTTCTACTATCTTATTAACTTTTTATCAAATTTTGTTGCATTTTATTTATCATTTTTTTACTTTGTAATAAACGAACAATACCTCAATTACAGAAATGTAAAATCAAATTCATTTCATGCGTTTACAAAACATAAGTATAGATGGCTCTATATTAAAATATACCAAGATGAATTCAATCTTAGGGAACGTAACCATACTAGGTGACCCGTTTAGGGGGGGAGGGCGAGCGGTGTCTTTAAAATACTACGGTCAGTCATAGGAGCGGGGGGTGGCTCAGATTTTAGTCACGTGATCGTTACTTGTTTTTTTTTTCATAATACATAATTCACTAGTAATTTAAGTATGTATGCAGTCTTATGCTATAAAGAAGAGTATGAGCCAAATTATTTCTGTTTTCAATGTTTACCTGTGATATGATCAAAAATCATAATTATGAAAACGTAAAAACTAAAAGGATGGAGGGGTCGAAAAAACTAAAAAATAGATCACGTAGTATGGGTATGTTCCCTTACTTCTTTGTCATATTATAAATGCGAATAATTAGATGGATGGATGGTTGGATGTTTGTTTAGATATCTCCAGAAAGGCTGCAAAGATTTCGCTGATATTTGGCATACATATAGAACATAGTCTCAAAGAACACATAACCTACTTATTACGTTATTTAATCCGCGCGGACGGAGTCTCGGACGACAGCTAGTATATGTTAATATTATCAACAATGCTTACTTGTTTGCCACCAACTCTGCCAGTCACGTAATCAGGACTCTGATCAAGAACCAAATAGTCTTGGTACTTGTTTACATCATATTCATTTATTTCTTTTATATGTACGCAGGTTTCAGCTTTTAATATACGATTAACTTCATTCAATCTTTGTCTTACTAAATCTAAATCGTAATCTGTAATTAATAAAAATACAGTAAAATTATGGAGGATACGAAAGTTCTTTTTTTTATTTAGAAACTTCTTTAAAATACATCCATATATTTAAGCGTAAAGGTTTTATAACGCTATTTAATTCTGTAATTTAAATCTATTTTTAATAATTTTTTTGTTCGAAAAACAAGTTGCCATTCATTTGTCAAAGAGCGCCATCTATTAGCAATAGATTCAAATTAAATTTTTCCCGCGAAAATGTAAACAATATTAACAAACAAAAAAACGTTGCGCCAGATTTTATTTGTTTTATAAGGTAGAAGTTTTGTTGTATTTTTAACTAAAATCTATAGAATCAGAATATTTTTATTGATAAAAGATTTATTTCATTAGGTTAGGTTTGATGTTAAAAAATAATTTCACTGTTGAGAAGCTTCACTATCCCCGGATGACATACCCACTGACCTCTATAAATGGACTGGCGATACGTGATATTATGTGCTTGTTTGATTTGCGCCATTTTGGCGCTGATAGTACTGGTGGTGTGAATTCGAACTATTAATATACAGAGAATTAACTGTCACGTAACTTCAACAGGCGCGTGTAAGGAACGAAACAAAAACTCTCATATCCAAGCAATCGCCAATCCATTTATCAGTTTTTTTTTTATATCATAACGTGAAAAACGAGCGAGCGGCCACCTGAAATCGTTGAAATAGCGAAGTGACCGTTGCCCATAGACATACGCAATTGCATATGCGTTGCCTACCTTTAATCGACGGAGGAGAGGATACACAGAAAGAAAACATTTCTATGCATCCTCTCATCCGGAAGGTCCGCTTCCACTTCCCATCCATTCGTTATAAGAATAATTTTGGGACGGCAAGAGGACTAAATTAGGCCTCCAGGATGCACACTCATCAGACGAAACGCGGAATTGCTTCCACTTGACGGCTGCCTTCTGTGTGGTCGTGGTATTTCACCGGGCGAACCGGGCCAATTCGTGCGAAGATGTTAAAGCGGGCTCTACCACTGTTAGGTTAGTCCAAAGCCTATATTGCTTGATTTGTTTTTAATTTCGCGCAAACAAAAGCAACAACTTATATGACATTACTTACATTTTAATGAATTTTTTATATAATATGGCACAACATTGTTGGGCCATCTTCGTTCTGAATAAAACTCCAAATTGTCTTTAGAAAGTTGTACAGTTTTCGGTGCTTTTGCTTCTGATTTCTCTTGTATTTTTCTCTTTTCTTTAGCCCTTGAAATGCAAAAGGATTATTTTTTTTTCATGTCACCGTAAAATTGTTATCGGTCAATTTATTAAATCATTTGACATACGTGAAATTTGTGAATAACCTAATAAAAAAATGTTACCGCGGATTTTGCCAATGTATAAGAATCTATACGAAATTAATTTGCTTTACGACAGTGGAATATCACACTTATCCAAAATCTGGTTCAACTTTTATCAAAGACAAAAAAGTTTTTATTCAAATCAAAAACATAATAATAAAAAAAAACAAAAATATTTAAAAAAAGAATGCTGAACTTTTTTTTTCTGATGTGAATCACGAAGCAAATGTAGATAGGAAAAATATCCTATTATCTATATATATAAAAGGATTAAATAAAAATTTACTGATACTGTTTAAAAATTTATTGATAAAAAAAGATCGTTACCAATTATCAGACATTTTTTTCTTCTGTGTTCGATGATTTTTCAAAGTTGGTACCTTTTTGAATATTTTCTCTTTCGATTTCGTCTCAAGTGACATATCTGATTCGAACATCTCCGGTTTTTCATCTCTTTTCTGTTTGTGGACGCTAAAATGTAAATATATTTTAATGTTTCATCATTATACTAACTGTCACCCTCGACTCCGTCCGCGCGGAATTACGAAAAACATAATTAGTAGCCTATGTGTTCTTCCAGACTATATTCTATATGTATGACAAATTTCATTGTGACACGTTCAACCGTTCTGGAGATACCTTCAAACAAACATCTATCCATCCATCCAAACATTCCCGTTTATAATCATCATCATCAGCTCACTATACGTCCCCACCGAGGGGTTCGGAGCCTACCCTAAGTTAAGGGTAATTAGGCCATAGTCAACCACGCCGGCCCAGTGCGGGTTAGTTGACTTCACACATATCTTTGAATTTCTTCTCAGATATGTGCAGCATCACGATGTCTTCCTTCACCGTAAGAACGTCGGATAAATGTTTATATGTAAATCAGAAATCGAAAAACACATTGGTACATGTCGGTATTCGAACCCAGAACCTTCAGATTGCAAGTCAAGTGCTTAACCCTGAGCTACCGACGCTCTCTCTACATGCTATCATGCACGAGACGCTCCATTTATAATATTAATAAGGTGAGATTAAATTAGCATTTGCCAGCGATTCTGTGACGGCGGAATTAAAAAAAAACTTGTAAAAATGTCTATGTCCAGTCTATGTCTCCCAGGGATGTAGCTTCACAACAGTGATAGAATTTGTTACATCACTTTAGTAGTTTGTAAGCATATTCAAAAGTAATAAATCATAAAAAAAATCTTTCCTCATTGTAATATTGAACGATGAAATTGCGTCAACAGATAAAAGAAAAATTTAACACAGGTAAATTTAATGTTAAAAGTGCATAAAAAAATAAATCGTTAACTAATATTATTTCTCACCGAAAATCACCGAAGCGTCTTCTAATATCCGATGTTGAATCTTTGAAGATTTCTTTCTCGATTTTAGTCGATTTCGTTTCTATATTTTTAGTCTGTTCCGTTGTTTTAGTTGTATTTGCTGTCACTTTAGTCGTACTTATTATTTTAGTTTCTTTCTTTGTAATATCTTTTTTATTTACTTGCATTTTCTCTGTTGTACCTAAAGATCGTTTACGTCTTTTAGGTTCTTCTATAGTTTCATTGCCTATTCTAAATCTAGATTTTTCATATTTACTCAAATCTCTATACAAATTTGTCGAGAACGGATACTGCGGTCTGTGATTCGTTGAATATTTTAAATTACCGATTTTCGTTGATTTAATCATTTTACATTGGTTACCGGTAAAATGGCTACATCTGGCAACATTGTAATTATCAAATGAATTTGACGTTTCGCAGAATTCAGTTATATTGTCAATTGCGTGATCAACTATAGATTTGGTATATTTAGTTATTATATCGACCATTCCTAATACGTCTGATGTTTCCATTTTCGATTTAAGATCATCCGTTTCATTGCAGTATTTATTTCTAGCATTTTTTAAAGCTATTGCTGTAACTGCGTGGACTTTTTCTAATATGTCTTTAACTTCATTGTCTATGCCTAGATGATTTAAACTACTTTCTATGTCTGTTATATTTATTGGTGGAGCGGTTATATCACGATTAACTCTAAGACTAGGGCCGATAGCACTTAATTCTATGTCCCGTTTCCTTCTAGCAACGCCAGGGTAATTTTGACATTGATCTATCTTCTCCTGTCGATCTCTTTTCTTGCATTCAGGTCCGTAGATTATGTCTATTTTTCGTAAATCCATATCTGAAAGACCGTTACGGTTTTGACGTATCGTATTGTCCTGAAATTGACGAGTTTATATTGACATTTTGGTTACTAATCGCTTAGTGAAAAAGAGGTAGCTAGCGCCCATTCGTAGCCACTATTGTACAGTCAGCTGCTTAAATAAGTATACATTTTCAGAACATTAGATACTTGTATACGCCTTTAGTTTAAAATGTATGGATGCATGTATTCATTCTTATACTTCCATCTATACATACTTGTTTTTGTAAAAGTCGTTGTCGTGTCTACAAGTATCTTAATAAATGTTTACATATTAATGCAGCTGACTGTACTTAGATGCAACCTCAACGCAAGTGATCTGAGTGTATGTGCGCTTTAGTACAGCTTTTGTCTGCCCACTGTTGGATAGATATTCCTCAATGTCTTCCATCTGGAGATAGGGAGCCTCAAACTCCTGGTTTTCTACATTCTTCAGGCAAATAGTAATTAAAAAGTCCAAAAAACTTGCATTGACTGCACATTATGTTAGTCTGGAGACATTTTTAACTTTTCAATATATAATTTTTAATTCGCTTTCTAGGGTTCAATAGAAATTGATGTTATTGTGTATTGGCCAAATCCTCCAGTAAATCGAGCATACCTTGAATATGATAGTCCGATGTCCATTCTTACTGAATTCTCTTTCACCGAAATGCGTCACACTATTTACGTCATATTGTAGAGGACGTAACTCTTGCGGCAGCTTACCATCTTTGGAGAACAACTCCAATGCATCTAATAAAAGATTACGTAAGTCAATGAAAGGGGAAGGGGTGGGGACGCATAGAAATGGGAATCCTTTTTTTATGCGCCCCCTCCCAAGAAAAGTAGGCAATAGATGCGTTGCGACTGCGGATGTCTATGGGCAGCGGTCGTTTTGCTTGGTTTTTCCAGACTATGTTTTATATGTATGCCAAATTTCATCGAGATCTATGCAGCGATTATGGAGATACCTTTTAACAAACATCCAAACATTCGCATTTATGATATTAGTAACATTAATATCTTGATATTATCGATCTCGATCGAGTCAAGTTTTGTAGAAAAATGAGCAATCTTAATAATATTATAAATGCGAATGTTTAGATGGATGTTTGTTTGAAGATATCTCCAGAATAGCTGAATGGATTTCGATGAAATTTGTCATACATATAGAACATAGTCTGGAAGAACACATAGGCTACTAATTATCTTTTTTAATGCGGACGGAGTCGCGGGCGATAGCTAATCATAAGATATAATAAATACTTTTTCTTATCTATTTTAAATGCTAATTTTATTTATCTATTTAACTTTCTATCTTATCGTAACTTAATGATATTTTTTTATCAATAATTACCCCGAATTATAAACATACCGTTGTTACAGCCTGATATGATTTAAAATTAAAAAGATTCGCAAAACAAAGACGTAAATGAAACCACAGAATATTTTAAATTATTTTTATTCTTTAAATTAAATAAAACGTTAACAATATTTTTTATTGAACAATGATAATTATTGCATATTTAATTTTTACAATGGCAACATTTAAATGATTTAAAACCTTTTTTGTCTAAAACATTAGCATATTGCATTATTTTTTTTGGTCGTAATGAGTAATGACAGTAAAAATGGATGTTAACATGTTAAATTTTAATTCGACATTGTTCGTTTTTTTTGTTCAACAATGGCCGTACAAAGATTAACTTTGCACCTAAAATAAATTAGGTCGCCGATTACTATCGTATATTTTCCTTAATATACGATAGTAATCGGCTTTAACTATACATAAATGTGAAAAAGCGAATGTATTTAGCAAAACGATATTAAAATTAATATATAAAAATACACGATTTAAACAGAATACTCAAAAGTCGATTACATATAACGATATACGATTTTTTAATATATTGACATTTGACATCTGTCAATGAATCACACTGTACTTGGCCGAATAATGTTAAGCCATATCAATTAAAATTAAAAAAAAAATAAAAAAAAGGTATTTTGTACCACATAAATTACGCATTCGTAAATAAATTCATTTTAGTTGCTGCCAAAGAATTGATTTATCATTTTGGGTACTAGAAAATTGCCATTTCTTTTTTTTTTATAAAGTTACTCTTGTCTATTTTTACAATAAAACTTTATGGGCATGACAAAGTGTCAGTACAGGTATCGCAGTTGGCTCTTCAGGAGGTATCCCAGCCGCACCAGCTATATCTAAATGCGTGTATTTAATATTCTTATCTTCCAAACCTCCAACTTTGATTAGAAATCCAGCTGCCAACTGATGATTACGACATTTAGCTTCCGTGTCGTATTGCACCAGATCATCACCCTTACATTTACCAACATTCACTGCAAGATCTTCTGGTCTGATTGTAGACACTTCTATACCTTCAGCCATCCTTCCACCACTGAACTGTAGTCTAGCTGAATGATTAGTAGCCCTTGCGCTATAATTGTCCATCGCAGCGACGTAATTACCATAGCAAGCTCTAGCGTGACCAGTTAATGTTGCAATCGTATATAAATGAGGGTTCATTGCATTACCAGCTTCTTCAGTTAGCTTGAACAACGCATCCGCCATCGCTAGACGACCTTCAGCGTCTGTATTCGTAACCCTAACTGTCTTCCCACTTCTGGAGACCAGCAGTTCATCGGAGACATACGAATCTGATCCTACAGAATTTCTACATAGACACAGTACACCAACAACTTTTAAATGTGGCGGTTTAAGAATCGAACAGGCTTTGAGGAAACCAGCTACAGCAGCAGCTCCACTCTTGTCTCTTGACATGCCGGCCATTTTGCCAGAAATCTTGATATCAGCACCCCCTGTGTCGTAAGTCACGCCTTTTCCAACTAACATTAGAGTTTCGGTCACTCTACTGGAATCATGAGGTTTGTACTCCAATTCTACCATTCTTGCCTTATGTCTGTCTACATGATTAGCTGCTCGATTAACAGCTGCTAAAAGTGGATACTCCTGGGCTATTATTTTTTCATCGTCTATCACTTTAATGGTGATATTAGTAATGCCAGCAAAAGAGTTTTTAATGTATTCCACGATGTTAGCCGGTGACATTCTCTCTGGATCACCTCCGGCAATATCTCTCGTCATAATTCTAGATCTTTCTAAAGCTATAGCGTTTCTTATTACCCTTTCAAAGTCTTCCGTCTTCTTTTCTTCCGCGTACAATCCTAAACGAATGAAATTCTTCGTATCATCTCTCTCTCTCATCTGTAGAGGTATATAGAAAGCTTCTAATGCTCCAAGTATACCGATTAATTGGCCATCTGGGAAATTAACAATATCTTGGACGACCAACAATGGTTTCTTGACACCCGCATCTAAGGCGCGTAACATACCTTTCTTTACTGCATCTTTAATGATACTTGCATCGTGGTATGGTGTGACATTCCCAGTCGGAGCAAGTATTATCCGTCCTCCAGAAACGTAATCACAATGCCAAACTGTTGCTACTTTTTGAATATGTTTATCCAATTTACGTATTCCCTCAACGAAACTTCCAATATGACGCGGCAAAGATATATTCAATTCTTCAGGGTAAACAATAAGTATGACACCATCGTAATCGGGAGATTGAATATTCGTTTCTATAAATATATTCTCGTATAATTTATATTGAATTGACTGAGACATGTTTACGCGACGACGTTATAAATGCGACTAAACGTGGTAAACACAACACAATAGATGGTTCGTTGCATGATTAGGTTATTCCTAGTGACGCACGATGACTTGCTTTAAATCGATTACTCTTGTGTTCCAAATTTGAATCGATTTTGTATAATCTTAATCGATTTTATACACCGATTGAAAACAATTTTTTTATAAATATTTAATTGTATTTTATAGCAGAAAAATTAAAGCTTATAAAATATTGTCGATGAAAATCATATAACCTAAAATTGATTTTTTTTTATTGTTTTTAAATAGACAAAGGTTATTTATGAATGCACATTTTTTTGTTTGTATCTGTACAAATTGTTACCAATATATTATATAATCTGTTTAAATACGTCTGTTAGAATTAATACAAGGTCATCAAAACAAGGTCGATCAATTTAGAGTTTTATTGATGTAGACAGCGCGCATGGCATTTACTTTGCTACTTTATAGAAATTAGGTCAAGATCTTAAATGTTTCGACAAATAAGGGTTACTGCGGTAAAGAGAATTGTTTTATAGTAACTAGTTAGTTATGTTTTTTTCTTGTATTTAGGTGTATTATACAATTGGAATATTGTATAATATATGGCCTAACTTAGGGTAGGCTCCGAGCCCCTCGGTGGGGACGTATAGTGAGCTGATGATGATGATGATACAATTGGAATAGTTAGGTTTTTTTTTAATTACTTTTGCAATAACAGATTATTCGTGACGATAAGGCTGCTAATAAATTGGAAGTCTTATTTCAAAATAAGAAGAAAAAAAAAAACTTTTTATTGAACACTATTTAAAAAAACATGCGTATAGTTCTTTAGGGATATTTTTCTCATGTTTTTTTATTATTCATTGTAATTTCTTGAATTTATTATCTGTTTATTAAGACCGATACTATTATTACTAGTTGTCGCCCGCGACTTCATCTTCGCGAAAATAAAAACTTTATTAATAGCCTATGTGTTCTTACAGGTTATGTTCTACATCTATGACAAACTTCGCATATACTTTCTAACAAACATCCATTTAAACATTCGTATTTATAATATTAATCGTTCGATTTTTAAATTATGAAATGTCATAAAATATATTTTTAAAAATCGAAATCGATTTTTTTATTGCGAAATTCACATCACTAGATAATTTAATTTAATGTAACATAATGAAATTATCGCTCCGTTATCTCTGGTATTAACTTGGTTCATTTACACAAGTAATGTACACATTTTATGTTGCAAATGAAACAATAGAGCTATAAATCGTCATATAACTTACTCATATATATCTATTTAACATAACTAGCCGTAAACAACGACTCCAAATGTACGAAATTAAAAAAAATAGTAGTCTATGTTCTTCCAGACTATGTTCTACGTGACTAACATCGAGATGCAGCTGTTCAAACCATCTAACAAACTTCAAACTAATATTTATAGTAGTAAGTTATTAAGAAACGTAATATTTTTCGTTCCTCTTTTCAAATAACTTGCCCAAGGTCATCAACGCAATGAGCGTTGCCCTCTCTCCGCATCCCGTAACGCCCCAAATTAACGTTGTGTGTGCAGCGACTCGCGCGAAATAAAGAGCCAACAAGATTTTTTAAAACATTTATACAAATATAGCTGTCGCCCGCGACTCTGTCCGTACGGAATTAAAATAAAAACATAATTAGTAGTCTATGTGTTCTATATGTATGTCAAAATTCATTTTGCCGGAAATACCTTCTGACTGAATTGCCACTGTTTGCCTTGAGGAGGCATTTACAGCTTCACCAGGCTTGAGGTGGCCGAGTGCAGATGCCTAGCCTAAACCTAGTTTAAGAGTAACCTTCGAACATACATCTATCTAAACATTCGCATTTATAATATTAGTAAGATTTCTTAAATGAAATAAATATAGAAAGATGTGCTAGTATCGTATTTAGTCTTTCTAATTTATTGTTTATCTGTCGTAAATATTTATTATCTTTTGTGTCATACAATTGTGTATTATTATGACATTATTTCTGAATAATATTACACAAATTACGTTATCTTAAATAACACAATATGTGATAACTCGTGTAAATATTAAGTCAATTTACGATAATACTGTCGCCTGCGACACCGTTCGCGCGGAATAAAAACACATGTAATTAGTTGCCTATGTGTTCTTCCAGACTATGTTCTATATGCCAAATTTCAATGAATGATGCAATCGTTTCGGAGATATCTTTAAACAAACATACATCCATCTAAACTTTCATTATATGTATAAGAAAGTGGTGTTAGTTACACTATTTATAACTCAAGAACGGCTTTACTGATATGCCTGAAAATTGGTGAGGAGGTAGCTTAGAGCCAGGAGACGGACATAGGATACTATTCATTCATTTTTTTGCCGAATTTATGCCGTGAACAGTTGCTTTTTATTTAACTTACTAATATTATAAATGCGAATGTTTAGGGAAAGGGTCGGAAGGGAAGAAGGCGAGTTTAAATCGGAACAAACATAAAACATTTGCATTCGCCTACCCTTTTAAATAGATTACTGCCCACTGGAGTCAAGGATCGTGACGACGTACGATGTTTATACTGACCTGAATCAATATTTTCAAACTGCACGTCAATATAGATGTCTCTGCTTGCGCGGTTGTGTTCAAATCCAAAGCCGAGAGCACGCATTACCATCATTTCCAACTGAGGAGACTTAAGACATGCGTAGCCGAGTGTTATCCGCTAAAAATATATTTCAAATAAATATTAAATGTATCCCAAAATTGTTGCGATGAGGACTGCGTAAATCTTTGGAGCCCCTTTCAATCAGAAGCCCAGTGCAGTCGTCAAACCACAGCCGTAAAGCCTGATATTACCCGAAATCAGTATTTTGAAAGAACGAGAATAAAATTTTGAATATTTATGGTTAACTAGCTGTCGCCCGCGACACCGTCCTTTTGAAATGAAAAAAAAAACAACTTAATTAGTTCGCAACAATTATTCGAATTTTTCTCACCTTTCAAACCTTTCCTAGACCTCCAAAAACATTTCAAGACCAAGATAAGATAAATTCGTTCAGCCAATCTCCAATTTCAGAGAGACTAACGAAAAAATTTGCCCGTTTTTGCAACATTTCTAACTGACGTTTCGCTCCTATTGGCGCAGCGTAATGTTAGAAACGAGATAGTGCTCCAGCGCGTCGCTATGAGCCGAAAATTCATGCAGACCGTCAAAAAGCGTAAAGTGGAATACTTGGGTCATGTGCTGCGGCATGACAGGTACAAGTTACTTCAGCTGATAATGATGGGCAAGATTGAAGGCAAGAGACGCGCTGGACGTAGGAAAAAATCGTGGCTACGTAATATTAGGGAGTGGACGGGGATTAGGTCAGCAGAGGAACTGTTTCGCTTTGCGCTTGACAGAACCAAATATTCCAAGTTAGCGGCCAACCTTCAAGACTGAAGAGGCACTAGAAGAAAAAGAATGTTATGTAAACTAACGTCCTCGTCTATAAATGGACTATCCAACAAAAAACGAATTTTTCAAATCGGATCAGTACTTCCTGAGATTAGCACGTTCAAACAAACAAACTCTTCCGCTTTATAAGTATATATGTATATAAACGATGTTTGTGATAGCGATTTAAAGTGGATTGATTTTTATGATTTTAGTTTGGCTTTGAATTAGTAGAGAGCTCAAAATTTAGACTCTTTGATGTCTTTAAACTTTGATTTTTTTTAATATTACCCAGTAAGTAACTTACATGTGGTTCTATTTTTGAATGTCCTGCCGTATTGAAAACACATTTTCTCACACCATTCGGATTTTCAAAGACCATAACGTGCTGGGATGAAGTCGGCTTCACAAGAACAGGGTTGAACTTCAAACAGGTTTTGAAAGTAAACAGCGAAAGTGACGTCATAATAGACAAAGACTGTTCATGATCTGTGAATGACAAAAGTCCTTTAAAAAGGTGACGTGAAACAGAGAAAAGAATTTTGTGAAACAAAATAAGTTACTAATATTATAAACTAGCTATCGGAATTATGGGCGACCGCTGGTATGTGACGTCCATAAGTTACAAGGTTTGTGTATTGCCTACTTTTGATGGACACAGGACAGATATACAAAAGAGATTCCCTTTCCTGGCAAACTTCCTCTTCCCGTAATCAAGAAAAACATGTGTAGGAAAAGAGGATTAAAATTGTATTCCAGTTGTCACGTGTCTTCTGTTTCCTTGTAATCCACCGGCCTAACGGGACACTCGTTCAGCACTACGGGCACCTGGGCCGGTTATTCAAAGCGTCCTGATCGAGATATTTGCAACCCCTATTTTGGCATTTTAAGATTTGGGGGCGCCGCAGGTGCGCCTTTATATCCGACACTAGCGCCCCAACTCCCCCTATACTAACGCCGCTAATGGTTGGCCCTGTCACTGTAAAGATGTCTTTACTATGATGATATGACGTCACAAATATACTTACCATAATGTTCTGGATCTATATAAAAAGGTATGGAAGCATTAGGCCAATATACAAGGTCTTCTTTCTTGATAACTGTGAACAAACTTTAACAGTGGTAGAGCCCGCTTTAACATCTTCGCACGAATTAATCCGGCTCGCTCAGTGAAATACCACGACCACACAGAAGACAGGCGTCAAGTGGAGGCAATTCCGCGTACAGTCTGATGAGTGTGCGTCCCGGAGGTCTAATTTAGTCCTCTTTTCCTTCCCACCCTCTTATAAGGAAAGGATGGGAAGTGGAAGTGGACTTTCCGGATGAGAGGATGCTTGGAAAGGGAATATATTTTCTTTCTGTGCATCCTCTCTTCCGTCGATTAAAGGTAGACAACGCATATGCAATTGCGTATGTCTATGGACAACGGTCACTTCGCTATTTGAGCGATTTGAGGTGGCCGCTCGCTCGTTTGCCACCTTATGATATAAAAAAAAATTAATGAGATTTACTTTGGGGAAGGAGGAGATTGTTTGAAAGATTAACGCAGACGTATGGAGTTGGACAAGGACAGAAAAGGTACATTTAAAAGTTTTTTATTGGTCTATTGTGAGGTTATTTAGAATTGATTTAGCTTGAGAAACTATATGTTCGTTTTAGTAATAATTAAATTACTCTTAATGTGGAATTTAACTTAAAATTAATCATAGTATTTTCTTACAAACCTAATAAGTTTGTTTCTTTTTAATTTAATTAGAAATATTTAAAAAAAATGTACATTGTATAAATATTCATCATCAGCTCATTATACTCCACTGAGGGTGTCAGAGTCTATCCTAAGTGAGACTATGTGACAGTGAATGCTGGTCCAGTGCAAGACTTCACACATTTGACTTTCTCAGATATGTGCATCACGATGTTTTCCTTAACCGTAACAACATACGATAAATGTACATATGTAGCACATTGCTACATGACGGGATTCGAACACAGAACCTGCAGTTTACAAATCAAATGCGTAACCTCTGAGTCGTCAAAACTCTGTAAATAATTGCGTAAATAATAAAACCTATCACTTTTTTTAGCAAATAAATGTATTTACCATTTATGTCTACAGTATTTCCGGTGTCAGCGTATATTTTTATAAAATGCAACACCACTAGTAAAATATTAAGCAACATTTTTGGCGAAACACTAACCAATATTAAAAGAAATACAATGCCATTTTTATAGTTTATTTTTATTGTTCAAATATCGAAAATATCATAAATGTGTAATATGTAGGTGAATTTAATTTGTTTTATATTTTTATTGCTTTATACAAAAGTTGGCTTTCTAAGAGCCATTTTAGATTTAAGACTAAAGCAACAGTTTACGTGAATAGTTGTCTTGATATTCGTTATTTTTATTTATATGAAGCAAGAATTTACTTTTTTTTGGAGATTTTACACAGTTTGTTCTTAAAATTGATACTTTTTACTCTTTGATAAGCCTTTCAACTTACTCTTTGAAATTTTGTCTTTGTCTTTGATACTATTTGACATTGACATTTGTCTATGATTAATGATTAAAAGTATAACCTAAAAATGGCTCAATGAAATTGAATTGATTTATAAAATTGATTTTAACTGCAAACATGAGTGTGTTTATCAAATATAATAAACCGGGTAGTATCGGTAATATATTTAACGTACAAGTATTATGGCGGTTCAATTCTACAACAGCGGAAACAATGAGAAAAGAGGAAGATGAAGAATTTCGGGTACTTGATATAATGAAGAAAAGAGATCGGCAGCAAAAGAGAACGGCTCGAAAAATTAATATTCAGCCAGATCGTGCCGACAGAATGCCAACTGATCAGGTAAGACATCATTTTAATATAGTTTTTACTAGACTGATAAGAGGGTTATGTGTATGTATAACTTGAATTGAAGCAGACTCGCCTACCGTTTTGGCGGGCGATCTATTACAAGCCACTAATTGTCTACAGCCTAGCCAGCCAGCGATCTATGTGTTAGAAAGCGAGCACTTTTTAGTAGCATACTGGGCCTGAGTCGCGTTTTGGTATACATATGCGTAAATCGCCACAGACTTACTATAAGAGCGCTTGTTGTAGACTGTATGTAACTTCCTGTCTGTCTTTCGATTCATTTTCTTTCATTGTTTTTAGTGGTTTCAAAGCCCAGTTAATTTTGAAACACAATAGCATATAAAATTTGAAATCCAAAGTATCTAATCCATAAGACCATGCTGATTTGTTTTTTTTTTAATAAATTTAGTTCTCACTGGCTTATAAATCAGTGTAAATGGTCAAAAAATTCAATTTAACTACTTAATTTCCAGAATTGGGGCAACGTTTGGCCAGGTCCTAAAACCTTCCATCCTTCATCTGTACCATTACCAATCCGTCAAGGCTACGTACCTAAAGGCCAGGCGCCACCTGGCAAGAAAGCTAATGCTGAGCTCATGAAAATACCCAACTTCCTACATCTAACACCACCAGCTATAAAAACACAATGCGAAGCAATCAAAAAATATTGCACAGAATGGCCAAAGTTACTGAACTCCGAAGATGCGATAGAAAAACATTACCCTGTGGAAGTAATCACATCGGATTACTGTCATGCAAGTCCAACCATCCGTAATCCTTTAGCCAGGATTGTCAATCTGAGAGTGAAATTATCAACACTGAACTTAGATAAACACGCGAAAGATAAATTTCTAAGATTAGTCGGTGATTGTTACGATGAGAAGACAGATTTTGTTACATTCGTATCAGATAGATGTCCGATGAGGAAGCAGAATTTGGATTATGTTAATTATTTGTTAACAGCATGCTATCATGAATCTTGGAACGTAGAGGATTGGGAGAAGGAAAAATGTGAAGACGATATGGAGTATTATATTTGGGATAATAACGCATCTAAGAAGAGTTTGGTTAATTGGCATTTACGTTGCAATAATCAAGAAATTAATCTAACAGATGACGAATACAAAAATTATGATATATCAGGAATTTCTAATGCAAGCGGTTACAAAGAAGCCGTCTCCAATTTGATGAATGATGGAGAAAATGAAGATACTGTTAAGAGTTATGGTTCAGCTGTAAGAAAACTTCTCGGTTTACCCGAGAGGAAGTTAACACAATGTTAATAATTATTAATAAATGTAGTTTGTACACAGTTTATTTTTTTTATAGTTTACAGTTGAGGACATTAATTTCCTACCCAGTATTCATACCATGTTTGTTAAAATGTATCTTCAGAATGCCTGCATGGATCTTGATGAAATTTGTCATAGATGTAGAACATAGTCTGGAAGGAATTTTAAACTCTGCGGACGATTATAGTTTTTTTTAAACAGTGCAGTTTGAAAGCTTCTTGCAGCAACACATACTTATTAAATTGCAGCTCTTGCAGTACATGTCAGTTTTGCTGTAGGATATTCAATCGTAAGTGGGGAGTGAATTTAATTCTTTGACTATAAGTGACTTTTCTGAGTTAATTTCATAGTTTTATCATTGACTTGTTAAAAGTTTAAAAATTAAAAAAAAAAGAATATATATTTGTCTCCGATTTTGTCATGAAAATGAAAGAGAGGTCCAATATTTATCGTAAATTTATACTGTCAATGGAGTCCTTCACAAGGTCACTTCGTAAAAGACGATTAAATAAAACAAACAAAATTGTTTTTTTTTATTATTAATTTATTAATCAATATGTATATAATATATAACTTACAGCCTTAAATAGCATCGAATCGATAAAACCTGAAGTTCGGTTTTAACTTGAAGTGACAAGATTCAGCAATCGACCGACACCCAGCGAGCTTACAAAACATATTTTCTTAATTTTTATTCCAAAAAGTACACCTATATTATTTCCTACATTTCGAACTATATTACAACAACCAAATTTTTTTTTTTAATAATCATTTTTTATAGTTCAAATCAAAATAATCAACAGTACTTACAGAATATACCAAGCAATATAAAAGGATTAGAACGAGATGAAATCTCAATATTTCATTTATTTAGTATACACTGTAAGTAAATTGAGAAATACACATTCCATATTTTTTTTTTACACCACTTATAAAATAATAGCAAGGTAATTTTTTTTTGTTACATTTTTCAATTTATACAGTAAGTCTACAATTACATTCCTTTTAGCACAATGTCGTCACTCCTTTGGCGTACTTTCGAAAAAAAAAATTGCAACAAATGACGTAACTTAAAAAAACTTAACAATACCTCTTCATAAGACCTTCTTGTACTGCTGCGTATTAATATTTACGAAAAAAATAAAATGTCACAATTGATTGTAAGCCTTTGCCTTTTTTATAATTTTTTTTTTAATATTTTTCCCTAAAATAAGTAGTCAAATAACATTTTTTTTTATTTAATTATTATATAACAATGAATTACTACGCTAATTTAGCATATAAAATTCAATTATATTATATACAAATATTTTATTATCGTAAAAATCTAAAGGACTAACATTATAATAAAAATGCACGTCCAATGATCATAAAGGCTTTTGCCTTTTTTATTTTTTTTTTATTTCCCACCAAAACATTAACTGTCAAAGATATAAATCATAACCTTATTAATTTTTAAATAAATTTGAAATTAAATGTAGCGTATATTATACTAATTTATTTCACAAATTTAATATAAGAAAAAAACTGGACACTGATTTTATTTATTTAAAAAAGAAATGTAAGATTTTTTTTATATTCCGAGATCTTAAAATGACTTTCGATTAACTTATTTTATTTACAACTAATTAAAGGCTGAATTAGCATATTATACAATTTTGATGAATTTAAACAATTTAATTTTTATTTTGCTATATTTAGTTTTCTTTTACGTACTTTGTAAGGGCAAAGTGATGGTGATTTTTTAGGTTATTTTTCATCGAAATGCTATTAACAATAATAGCACAGCAGTACAAGACTAAGCTCTCGTTCGCTTCCTTGTCACACATATCAGAAACACTCAACATTTTTCAAACTGTATATAAATAAAATGTCAATACGGGACGGTCCAAAATATTACAAAATATCTGTTTTTATATTGACACAGAAATTGTCAACACGAACAAACATTAATATTCGACTAAATTTTTTATTTTTTTCATTTGGCTTTCACACGAAGCGTATTAAGCCAAAAAATAAAAAGTTTTTTTTAAAGTTGCACAAGTTGACAGATTGAATACGTGTTGCCTTATTTTTAATGGACATAAAAAAATTGCACAGAAAAATTCCCCTTTCTCAAACATCAAAAATCCAAAATAAAATAAACAAAATATTTACTTCTTATGAATATAAGAAATGCCTTTATTTTGGATAAAATGAAGTAGAGATGAGAAAGATCCTTGGGAATAATACTAATATTTAACTATTGGCATTATAAGTAGATATTTTTTAAGTATTTTTTTTTAGTTTTTTCTAAATCTTGCACCATAATTTAATTTGTGAATTGTGATTATTAATAAATGATTAATTTTATCGTAACGAGAAAGTTCAATCTATATTTTTTTTTACTTTTAATTCTCGGCCATATTTTTTTTGTGTATTGATTAATTCCTGTGTCAATTGTTGTAAGAAAGAACCTATTAAATGTTTTATTAAAATAATAGGAACTATTTTTTTACACGCAAAGTGAAAGAAGCGACGTTAGCTATGTCAAGAGATGTTCATAACCTAAATTACGAAATAAGGCAGCGCGAGCGACGCGCGAATTCCAGTGTTGCCAGTAACAAAAAAAAATGTGCGAATTCGGTAGTTTTTACTAAATGATTTTTCTATTTTTTTTTTAATCATAAAAATTGGTAGAAATCCACGCGTCGCAACACGCTTTATATAATTAAAAAAAAGCATCCTTACGTACTAAGAAAATAAATTTCAACACACTCAAATTTTTCGTTTTTTTTTGTATAGCTATAACTATTATTATTTAGTGCAATATACAGTTTTTATTATATAATTACGTTTAATCGATTATAAATCGATATCGATGTTTGTCGATTAATCGATTTGTTTGCTCATGTCAGTACATCTGCAATCGGCATAAAATTAAAGCATTGAGCAAGTTAGTGATGTCAGAATGAAATATGTAGCGTTTAGCGTATTATAAAAAAAATGCATTTAGGATTTATAATCGATTTTTTTTACTGAAATGAAAATTCCATATACGAGTTATTTATCAAAAAATTATTATTTAAACTTAAATTAAGACGTAAATAATAGCTTTTCGATTGCTTTAAAAAAAACTGTTTGACGAATCTTAAATCCTAATTAAAATACATTAATAGCATTAATTTTGAATCAAAAATATTAAAAATAGCCAAAAACATTCCCAATTATTTTTCTTATTTCATGTAACCAAATAACTCTTTGCAATATATTACCATCCTTTTCATTTGCTTTAATAAAAAAGAGACGACAATATGTAATCCAAATCACAATACGCCAAACGCTACAACTATGAAAATATTAACCTTATAATAAAATCTTCAAACACCTTAACATTTTATAAAGATCGTGGACTGGCAACACCAAATATGTGGGTAGTTATAAATCATTTATTTAAAACTACCTACATACAAATTTGTGCTTTTCAAACATATTAATGATACGGCTTTTAAATATTAAAAAAAGGAGAATCATGCCATTTAGTGACAAAAATGTTATTTTACTATTTTTCACAGTAAATCGTCAACGTGTGTCGCCATCTTGAAAATTCCAACGATTTTCCTTGATATTCACAAACATGTAGCGAGCTACAAACTTTAACGACTAAAGACGCATCGACGACATTGCTATCTGTCAAAAGCCAGTCGCTCGCAACCTATTTTTCAAGATCGAAAGTCGCTGCAATTTACAAGATGGCGGAGCAAAATACAGTTGACATTACGTACCACGCATTCAATATAAGTTTGATATTTGATATTTCCAGTCTACGATCTTGTATTATGTGCAAGTCAACGTAAAACTGCAGAACTTGTACTGCATATCGCTATCCCTTTCATACGCTTTGAAAAGACAGAGACAGTATAATACACTGCATAATTCTACTGTAATATATCTGGCAGTCAATGTGAAAAGCCATAAAAGGAATAGTCTTTATAATTATTGCTTGTCTGTATGTTTGTTAGCTAATTATAGTGCAACAAAGTTATCTGACCCGGTTACGTTATTACGTCTGAAAATATCCAAACTTCGACATATAACAGTCCGACAAGGATATTGTGACATTGTCGGTAGCATAATGAACTGTTTACTCTTCTTTGCAAACTCACAACAGTCCGACATGTTTTTAGTGACATTGTCGGTCACATAATGAGCTGTTTACTTTACAAACTCAGACAGAACAGTCCGACATGTTTTTAGTGACATTGTCGGTAGCTAAATGAGCTGTTTACTTTACAAACTCAGCCAGAACAGTCCGACATGTTTTTAATGACATTGTCGGTAGCTAAATGAGCTGTTTACTTTACATTACCAACTTAGACTAATCCGACATGTTTTTAGTGACATTGTCGGTAGCTTAATGAGCTGTTTACTTTACAAACTCAGACAGAACAGTCCGACATGTTTTTAGTGACATTGTCGGTCGCTGAATTGTTAACTATATAACCGGGTCAGATTATTTCGTACTATTGTCTTACATGCCTTATATAGCGGAAAGTTATTTAAAAATCTACAACACTTGGTACAGTCTTCAAATTCACATCAAAATGTCTCGAATATCATATCGTCTACATGAAAAATATATCAACATCTATACATAGTTATACAATGTCGGGAACTCGAGACCGACAGTGCGAGCGGGACAGATACACTAGTTCAGCACGTGCGAGCGAGACGGTCGATCAAGATTTGGATACAGCGCCATCTATGTACGTGCGGAATAGCTCTTTCCCTTTTATTTATTTCAATTCCTGATAACGGCCTCGAAAATCTTATGAAAACTTACACAAGACAAAAGGAAAAATTAATATTATACTAGATTTATATTTAGAGAAAAAAAACATGGAGGAAAAAACAAAAAAAAACATTACTAGTGCTGTTGTAACTTGCCTGTACTATACAAACATCGGTTGGCGTTAGAGATGGTCATATAGGTTAACCTGAAAGAAATTAAAAATTATTAAAAAAATACCTATTAAATAAAAAAAAAACTCAACTGACTGTATGACACTCTTTGTATGAATACGAATCGAATGACACCTTATTTATCAAAATCCGTTCACTCGTTTACTATACAGGATGTTACAAATTAACATGAAAAATCACGCAAAATAAATTACTGTCTGTTATACTAGCTGTCGCCCGCGACTACGCACTGAATGAAAAAAGTATTGGCTGTAGCATATTGTTATATAGCCTAAAGCCTTCTTTCTATAAATGGACTATCCAACAAAAAAAATCAAATCGGACCAAAGTCCCTGAGATTAGCGCGTTTAAACAAACAAACAAACTCTTCCACTATATAATGAAACTACGAAACTATTGAACCGATTTGAAATTTTTTCCATATTGGGAAGCTACACTATCTCCGGATAACATCTTACTATTATTAATACTAGCTGTCGCCTGCGACTCTGTTCGCACAGACTTAAAAAAAACTTGTTTGGTAGTCTATGTGTTCTTCCAGACTATGTTTTATATGTATGACAAATTTCATCAAGATCCGTTGAGTCGTTACGAAGATATCTTCTAACAAACATACATATAAACATTCGCATTTATAATATTAGTAAGATGTAAGTTTGGATGTATGTTAGAAGATATCTCCAGAACAGCTGCATGAATCTTGATGAAATTTGTCATACATATAGAACATAGTCTGGAAGAACACATAGACTACCAAACAAGTTTTTTTTCAAATCTGTGCGAAAGGATGACAATAGCTTATATTACTAGATTTTTTAACTGAATTAGTTAAATCTACTCACCCAGGCATATCCTGTAGTAAAATCCGTGCCCCATCAGATATAATTCATACATACAGAGTCTACACTTTATATATTATAATTAAAATAAAAAAAAAAACCAAACAAAAAGATAGTCCGGGCACTAACAATATCAGTTTATATAAAATGCAATATCAATGCGTTCTCCCGAGCGACTTCATCTGAGTTGGGGCGTTGTCACATTTCGTATTCACTGCTGCTGGAAATTAAACATATATATATTACTCAAATTATTCAAACTTTCGTGAGACATTATACTAAAGTGATATATAAAGACGGTTAAACACTGACGTATATACGCCCGGTGGCGGCACCGACTAGTTTCGAGGGAGTACCACTCATCCTGATGAATCGCCCTCGATGGACTCGAAACTAGTCGGTGCCGCCACCGGACGAATATACGTGAGTGTTTAGCCGTTTTTATATATCACTTTAGTATATATTACTTCTCATATCACTAATATTAAAGACAATGTTTTTTTTATATAATAAGGTGGCAAACGAGCGAGCGAGTCACTTGAAATCGCTGAAAATAGCGAAGTGATTGCCCATAGACATACGCAATTGTATATGCGTTGTCTACCTTTAATCGACGGAGGAGAGGATGCACAGAAATAAAATATTTCCATGCATCCTCTCATCCGGTAAGTCCAGTTCCACTTCCCATCCTTTCCTTATACGAAAAAGAGAAAGGAAAGAGGACTAAATTAGGCTTTAATACTAATATTATAAAAGCGAATGTATGGATGTTTGTTAGAACATATCTTCAAAACGTATGTATAGATCTCGCTGAAATTTGTCATACATATAGAACATAGTCTGGAAGAACACATACACTACTTAGTTTTTTTTTAATTCTGCGCGTACGGAGTCGCAGTCCACAGCTAGTAATATAAATGCGAATGTTTAGATAGATGTTTCTACATATAGCAGATAGACTTGAAGAAGACATAGGCATCTTATTTTCTTATCTCTGTATAGATAAAGTCACGGACAACGACTAGTATTTTATAAAATTTAGTCCTATAATAGACTTCCTTTCCATTAAGTTTAAGCTAGTGATATCATCATCAGCTGACTATATGTCCCCACTGAGGGGCTCGGAGCCTACCCTAAGTTATTGACTAGGCCATAGTCAACCACGCTGGCCAAGTGCGGGTTGACTTCACACATATCTTTGACTTTGTCAGATATGTGCAGCATCACGATTTCCTTCACTGTAATAACATACGATAAATGTACATATGTAAATATAATAGAAAAACAAATTGGTACATGGCGGGATTCGAACCCAAGATCTGCAGATTACAAGTCAAGTGCTTTAACCACTGGGCTACCGAGGCTCTAAGCTTAAGCTAGTAAATAAAGATGTCTTACGCCTTGGCCTAGCATTGGCGACAACACTTTGCGCGCCGCAGGAACCAGCGCGGCCGCGGCTGCCGGCGCCCGACACACTAGCGCCACGGCTGTAATATACAACACAATTCTATTAAAAACAACACAAAACACTGTCTAATACTAAAAAAACGCTGCTTGGAAATAATAGATTTTACTTAATTCAATTTCCATTTTATTAGTTCGAATGTTTTCAATATATTTAATTATTTCGCTATTTTAGCGAAATCACACAATCATTGAACCCAATCTTATAAAACACTAGCTGTCGCCCGCGTTATGTATATATTATAGCTTGAATAAAAAAACTCGGGTTAGAGAAAAATCTTAATAAGCGAGAGTCATTCTCACCAAACCAACCTCAATAAGCGAGAAACTCTAAAGAAACCTCTATATGCGAGAAAATAGTCACTGATAACTTCACACATTTTGACTTTCTCAGATATGTGCAGCATCACGATGTTTTCCTTCACCGTAACAATATACGATAAATGTAACACATTGGTATATAGCGGGATTCGAACCCAGGATCAACAGATATATTGTCAATTTTTTGAGCTTTTTTCTGATCTTATTCCGTTACCTACTTAGACCAGTTTATGAATACAATACCTGAAAGCAGGTCCAGCATTTGTAATATTATATTGTTGCACGCGATCGCTCTCCGACACGGAGCGCGTGCGGTCATATGGCCGCGCGTGAGGACCACGACCCGGCGCGTGAGGACCACGGGTAGCTAGCAGCTCGTTCAGTTGCGGCTAAAAGGTTAAAAACATATTAAATTTAAGGTTAAATAATTTACATAATAGATCTAGTAAGACATTAAGTAAGGCTCTTCATACACGAGGCAACGTAAACCTTCGTAAAGCGACGATTTTACTCGCTAGGCGACTTACGTGTACAATGCTATTGAGGTCATAGACATTGACCTCTCTCTATAACTTTGGGACATCGTGACCCCCTATAATTCTGAGATATCGCGACCCCCCCATAAGTCTGCGACTTCTCGACCCCCTATAAATCTAAGATATCGCGACCCCCCATAAGTCTGCAACTTCTCGACCCCCTATAATTCTACGACATGGCGATCCCCCTTAAGCGACATCTTGACCCCCAGTCTACAACTTGCGGGGGTCACTAATCATAGTTCCATACAATCTCACCTCCAGCACACGAAAATCTTCAATAGATTTGAACTTGGCGAGGAATCCTTCCAGTTTTGGCTCAACGCACAGCGCGGCCGCGTGCTTATAATACTTCAAGAAAGCCCAGAACTTCTCCAAACCGTACAGCTGACCTGCAATACCATATTAAAAACATTTCAATAATTAACTTCCACTATTTTACTAATAATATAAATGCGAATGTATTGATGTATGGATGGATGGATGGATGGATGTTTGTTTGAAGGTATCTCCAGAAAATCTGTATGGATCTTGATGAAATTTGTCATACATATAGAACATAGTCTGGAAGAACACATACAATCTTTGCTAAGTGTCTTTCTATACCGCTCGGACGGAGTCGCGGCCAACAGCTAGTTTCTTATAACAAAAGGATGGGAAGTGGAAGTAGATTTGTCGGAGGAGTGAACGCATAGGAAGGGAAAATATTCCATTTCTATGCCTTTCCTTTCCTTCGATTTGTTAGAAGGCATCTCCAGAACGTCTACATGGATCTTGATGAAATTTGTCATACATATAGAACATAGTCTGAAAGAACACAGACTACATACTAAGTTTTTTTTAGTCACGGAAGTAGTCACGGGCGACAGCTAGTATCATCTATATATATATAATAATCAATTGCTGTTCGTTAGTATCGCTAAAACTCGAGAACGACTGAACGGATTCATCTTACAGTCTAGAAATGTTCGAGGTTAATATTCGAATAATTGCCGGGAACTTATAAATCTTTTATCCACGCGGACGGAGTCACAGACGACAACTAGTATAATCATAAAAAGCTCACCGTTTTCATAATCAGCTATAGTCTCCTGCTGGAAGTGCTGATACAGCTCAGGTCTGAACTTGCGCTCGAGACCGTAAGAGTAGAAGCGGAAGAGACACTCGAGGCCGTATCTGAACCCGGCAGCTGCGTCTTCATTCGCTAACGTCCTGTATTCAAAATATCGGTTAGTACAACATTGGTTAAAAATATCGGTTATCACGACCAATGTGATACCTTATCATAACAGTTTAATATAGTAATGTTCTCTAATGAACTCCTGTAAAGTAGTTTTAGATAGAAATGTATTCTAAGAGACTCCATTGGAGTAGTTTTAGAGAGAAATGTACTCTAAGAGACTCCTGTAGGGTAGTTTCAGAGAGAAATGTACTCTACAGACTCCTTTAGAGTAGTTTTTGAGAAAAATGCGCTTCAAGAGACTCCTGTAGAGTAGTTTTAGATAGAAATGTACTCTAAGAGACTCCTTTGGAGTAGTTTTTGAGATAAATGCACTTCAAGAGTAGAGTAGTTTTATATAGAAATGTACTGTAATGGACTCCCGAAGAGTAGTTTTAAAGAGAACTATACTGTGAGACTTCTTTGAAGTAGTTTTAGAGTGCAATCTACTTTAAAACACTATCTTAGAATAGTTTTAAAGACTAATCTGCACTAAGCAACTACCACAGTGAAATTTTAGTGACGAAAATCTAAAATGTATCTAATATCGTCCATAATTACTTTGCAGAGGGGCATATACTAATTACCCTCCCTAATAGTCGGGCAAAATCCACTTAAATGTATTTACATACCTGAATTCATTGTACATGGTCCTGTTGAAATGGTCCCGTAAGAAGAAGGACCAGAATCTGAACAATGTGTTCATCTCCTGCGACTGACCGATTCCCAACTTCTTGCGTTCTGACAAATAGACAGACAGATATTAATTTCAATATATAAATAAATGCGAATATATATACAGTGCAACCTCAATATAACGAATCGGAGGGGAACAAGTAAATATTCGTTATATCGAGTAATTCGTTAAACTGAGGTTCGTTATGTTAAGGTTAGGATGGTCTAAAATTCGTTATAAAGAGGTAAAAAAATAGTTTTATTCACCTCAACATTACGTACGCATCTTGTTATAGCGAACAACTTCTACTAATAAATGATAACTCTTTTTTATCAAATTACTGTAATTTTTAAAAACAATTAGGCAAGTAACAAAATTTTTTTGTAGGTACATATCTTTGTCCACATAATTAATTATGTTTTGCTTTTCTGCGACCGATAAGGAACACCTTTTACGTTTCTGAGCCATTTTAACTTAAATCTTTGACAATTGTGACGAGAATAAGTGTTAACATTACTTTCCATCAAACAACAATGATTGATTTACAAACAAAAGCGTGTCGAAACATGTCGCAACATGAATCACATATTATGAGATTAAAAGTCATACATTAGTGACACTGCAACTTTATATAGAGGTTTTGGGTTGACAAAATTCGTTAAATAGAGGTATTTATACTTTTTCTCGATGGTTGAAAATTCGTTATAAAGAGGTTGTTCGCAAGAAATGTTCGCAATGTAGAGGTATATTTTATATTGACTCTTATGGACAATTCAAGGGGATTACGAAAAATTTGTTAAATCGAGGAAGTCGTTATATCGAGGTACGTTATATTGAGGTTGCACTGTATGTATGTTTGTTTGTTATAAGGTGTCTCCATAACGGTTGTATGGATCTCGATGAAATTTGTCATAGATGTAGAACATAGTCCGGCAGAACATATAAACTACTAATTAAGTTTTTTTTAGCTATTTATACACTAAAACTCACCCTTCAAGCACCTGGAATGGTACTTATGATAAGCCTGCTGTGTGAAATGATTCTCCCGGAGCAGACCATGACTTGGATGATGGAAGGCTGGCAGCGCTTGTGGTACTGAGCCGCATGAGGAACCCAGCGTGGGAGATGTGCCTAGTGAAGACCTGGGGATAGAAAAAAAACGAAAAATCAGATTATGATAACCCGCTAAAGGTTCCGTATCTTGATAGGACCAAACGGATCCCTTATAGGATCTTTGTTGTCTGTCTATCGAGACCCTTTTTCTCATGCACTCGTGAAGGTATCAACCTGGTATTTATATCAAATACTCAAGTCTACTGTTTCTTGTTGCTGTGAAAAAATCAAACTTGTAAGCCAATGTAATCAAATGATACAGCCGTTTATGCAATTTTTACACTTGCAAGGAAATCAAAACCTACAGTTTACTACCAGAGAACATAGAATCTTGAAATTTTGGTAGGAAATAAACTCTTATAGTACATATAAAGGATAAAATTAATTATATAACTACACGTTTGTACGGAACACTAGGTATTCGAATCAGAGTCGTACTTGACCGATTTTTTTTATAACTATCAGATTATCGTTTTGAAAGTTATTGCGAAATTCTCTTATATTACATATTACTAATATTATAAATGCTTATGTTTAGATGTTTGTTAGAAGATATCTACAGAACGGCTGAATGGATCTTGATAAAATTTGTCATAGATGTAGAACATAGTCTGGAAGAACACATAGACTAATAAGTTTTTTTTTGTTATATATAGTATAGGTATTATAATGAAGTGACTGACCCGGTGCTGTGCGTGCGAGCGCGGTGCTCACGTACATCCATGATCCAGCCCACATGATGCTCCACGGGCGGGTTGAGGCTGTGCCGAGTCTTGTGTTTGCGACCGCTTCTGTAATATATCATCAAATTGGTGTGTCACTCTGTAGTACTTACTATATCTTACTAATATTATAAATGTGAATGTTTAGATGTTTTTAGAAAGATATCAGCAAAATGGTTGCATGTATTTCGCTGAAATTTGGCATAGTTTTGAACATAGCCTTTTTGATAGCTAGTTATATTATAAATGCGAAAGTAACTCTGTCTGTCTGTCGCGCTTCCAAGTCAAAACTACTAAACCTTTTCTTATGTACCTGCCATTATTTCTGTAATATCATTTTCTGTCTAACCGTAGATTTCTGAGACCCAAATCTTTGAAAACAGATATAACAATGCTTTAAACGGTGATTTTGTTTTCAGAAACCCACTGTAAGCAGGTTCTATTATATATCTGACATAACCAACCGCGATAACCTCTCACCGGTACAGAAGTCCTAGTTTGATTGTAAGAAGTTTACGATTTATCAAATACATATTGCCACCTCTCTCTTTCTCTTTGATAAGACAGAGACAGATATATTGAACGCTGCAGTGGAACCCTACAGTACTTACATGACATCAGTAGCGTGTGGGTCTTTACTGGCGGCGTAGAACCGTGCGGTGCGACGCGGACGTTTCTTGTCCGGCTGCTCTTGTGATTGTTCCAACTGGAAATTATATATATATATATATTAATATTATAAATCCAGAGCGTCGGTGGCTCAGGAGTCAAGCACTTGACTTACAATCTGCAGGTCCCGGGTTCGAATCCCGCCATGTACCAATGTGTCTTTCGATTTCCGATTTGCATATGTACATTTATCGTATGTTCTTACGGTGAAGGAAAACATCGTGATGCTGTACATATCTGAGAAAGTCAAATGTGTGAAGTCAACCCGCACTTGGCCAGCGTGGTTGACTATGGTCTAGTCACCCTCAACTTAGGGTAGGCTCAGAGCTCCTCGGTGGGGACGTATAATAAGCTGATGATGAAATTATAAATGCGAATGTTTAGATGGATGGATCTTGTTAAAATTTGGTATAGATGTAGAACATAGTCTGGAAGAACACATAGGATACTTATTAAGTTTCTTTTAAGAATATAGAGTCGCGGGCAATAGTAAAGTGTAAAGTCGCAAATAAAGAAGCTATTTAGCAATCTCTTTTATATTAATAAAATATAAAAGAGATTGCTAACTATATAAATCTATATCTATACACTAAAAAAATATGTATGTCTTATCATGTTATATTTGCTTTGACTATAACGCCAACTAACTCATTAAATTTTTAGTCTGTCTGTCTGTAAGTTTGTTCCTTATAATCTCTGGAACTGATGGACAGATCCTGACAAGACTTTAACTGGAAGGCATCTGATGTAAACGAGAATGTTATAGACTAGTTTTTTTTTTATATTCGCCGTGACAGCTAAAAAAAAAAAGTTGAAATTCATAGTTACATGTTGCGTTGGCTTTGGCGGTGGTGGCGGCGGTTCCTTAGGGTTAGTGTGTCGCTCGTTGGGCACCGCGGCTTCGAACTGCGACCGACTGATAAGTGATACCGTACGGTACTGACTGCCGCTGCCACAGGACTGCACCACCCATACATACATACATACAAATAAATATTATTATTACGAATGGATGGATAGACGGATGTTTAATACCGGAATACTAAATAGGCTAATTTTAGTCATTAGTAGTGAGAATCATTTGACGCAAGCGCGCTTTCGTAACAAAGTCTTGTATCAGATGTAGTGAAGAGAGACATAAACGTTGATATTTTAATAAGGCTAGTGTTGCGATACACCGGCACTGTGTCGGATTTTCTTTCTAAGATTACTTAGTTTTTTTTTTAAATCCATAAAACATATGATATAAAATGCGTTTACAAAGTTTCAATGTATGGTCATTTTGACCATATAACTCCAGAACGACTGGACGGATCTGGACGATATTTGAAACTAATGTAGATTATTGTACAAAATAATACATGAACCGTTTTTTTTATTTCTATTGAATTTGGCCAATTTTAATATGTCAAAATTAAAGTCATTCTAAACTAAACAACTTAATTTCATATTATATTCATAAAGCAACTAAAATTTAAAAAGTTGATTAAACATAAAAATAAACTTACAGATGTGTACTCTGTATCATTCCAAAGATCTTCTTCATAGCGCTTCAATCCATCTGTGATCACCTGAAAACAATAAATGTAGTGACAAAAATAAAGATGTCGGTCAAACAAAATCTGTTCATGTGACAGAGGCTATACTATGGTTAGTTCAATCATAAAACATATAAAACCTACATAGACACCGGAAATGTCATAAAATATAAAAATAAAAAAACAGCTATAGCACATCAAAAATCTTGTGACAGTTCTGACGTTGACAGGAGGGCGTTAGTGAGCTGCCATAATTCAGTCCGACTTATGCCTACCAAGTCAGATATCCTAGTAGGTCTATTATGTAAAATTGCTTTGGAAACTCTAATATATGTCTCTTAAAAACCTTACAGTTCAGGACATTAACACGTTAGCTGCCAGAATGTTTTTTCGAAAAACGATTTTTTTTTTTAATTTTGTCCAAAACAATTTGAATGGCGCCTTGCGGGTACGGTGTACACAACAATTCGATTATAAAGCCACAGCGAGGTGTTAAATGGAAGTATGGCTTGTCGGACACAACGTCCGACATGGCAGCTAACGTGTTAATTTCCTATCCATTTCGTTAAAATGTTATTTAGAGGTTAATATTTAGTTCTTTCTAATCATCTTCTATATAAAATGTACTAAGGTATAAATGATACAGGGTTTACAAGACATTTGTACAGTCCAACTGACAATGTGATGTGGTAATGCATAGCACATATAAATTAGTCCCATTGCTCACCGATTTAAGACAATATCTTTGTAACATCCTGTATAGTAAACGATTGAACAGATTTTGACAAATGAGGTGTCATTCGATTCGTATTCTTCCCTAAAGTGTCATAAATACAAACTGTTATATATTTATTCCAGTATACCTGTTCTAAATCCTGTGTAATCTTAGTCCTGGACGTCCAGTCCCCTTGACGATCATGTCCGTCGTGTTTGGGTGCGCGTGCGCCGGTCTGCGTCACTATGAGTAGACGACCGACATCACGATCGGTAAACTCAAAGTCGGATTCTTCGTCAGACCTGTGGAAATTTCAATGATATAAATTCTAATATTATAAATGCGAATGTTTAGATGTATGTTAGTATGTATCTCCAAAACGGCTGAACGGATCTCGATGAAGTTTGGCATACATATAGAATATAGTCTGAAAAAACACATGGGCTACTTAATTTCTTAATGAGGCGCGGACGGAGTCGCGGGCGTCAGCTAGTTCAATATAAATCAGAAATTACATATGTCACTGACCGACAATGTCAGTTGTTATCTCTGACTTTGTCAAGTTAAAGTGTTTTAAATTTAAGATTGATTTATATTACAAATATGTCTTTATTACTAATATTATAAATGCGAATGTTTATATGTATGTTTGTTTGAAAGTATCTCCAGAACGACATAGAGAAAGTATATTTCAAAACTGACCATGCATCAGTGAAAGTGTTATGTCTCGGAGGTGGTAGATCCAGCTCCTCATCCAGCTGGAAGTGCAGCTCCTCGCGAGGTTCCTCTTCGGGAGGCACCGCGCTTGTACCCGATCGTTCACGGGAACCAGCTTTTGTACGACGTTTCACCTGATATATTGAAAATTATAAGTCAAATTTCGTTACACGATAGAGACAAAAGATACAAGTACAATGCAATAGAAAGAGAAGGGTTATAGATATTTTATTTATTTATTCATTAAAAAAAATCCACAACTTTACCATTATCTTACTAATATAAATGCGAATGTTTAGATGGATGTATGGATGAATGTATCTACATAACAACTGAACAGATCTAGATGAAATTTGTCATACATATAGAACATAGTCTGGAAGAACACATAGATTACTTTTAAGGTTTTTTTTATTGTCAAATATATATTTTGTTACCTACAAAGTGACTGTATGTTTTATATTAAAACATGATATCAATCTGTAGGAATATTTACTATACCCGTATTGCGTAACCCATAATCTCTATGACAGAGATAAGAGGCCTAAATAACGGGACATATTAAACAAAAACTCACGACTTAACATAGAGGGGTAGGCAGAGTATGTCAACATATATCTACAGATACATATAAAACCAGACAACAGATTATTTGTTTTTTTTTATATCATAAGGTGATAACGAGTAATCGGCCACTTGAATTCGCTGAAATAGCGAAGCGACCGTGGACATAGACATTGGAATTTGAGATGATGACATATATCTTACTAATATTATAAATGCGAATGTTTGTATGTTTGAAGGTATCTACAGAACGGCTGTATACATCTTGATGAAATTTGACACACATATAGAACATAGTCTGGAAGAACACATAGACTACTTATTATGTCTTTTTTAATTCCACGCGAACGAAGTCGCGTGCTTTAGCCAGTAGATTATAAATAGGAAAGATTTATTTGTATTGAATAAACTCCGAAACTATTGAACCGATTTGAAAAATTCTTTCATTGTTGGGAAACTACACTATGTCCGGATAACATAAGCAATTATTATTAGTTTTTTTTTTTAATTATAAAGAAAGGATGGGAAGTGGAAGTGGACTTTCCGGATGAGATGCATGGAAAGGGAAAATATTATGTTTCTGTGCATCCTCTTCTCCGTGGATTAAAGGTAGGCAACGCATGCAATTGCATATATCTATGGACAACGGTCACTTCGCTATTTCAGCGATTTCAGGTGACCGCTCATTGTCATCTTATGATATTAAAAAAAACATAAAGAGTAAAGCCTAGTATTTAGTATAAGCGATGTTACCTCAGTCCATACATCAGATGCAGTCCTTTGAGCCGGACTGGACCCGGACTGTTTGTCTCCTTGTTCTGTCTTATTCTCGATGTCTTCTGAAAATTATATCAAAAAATTAGTAATTTGAAATACTAACATAATAAAGAATTTATTTATATTTTACATTAGTAAAAGATAACATCCATAATACATACAAGAAGTTTGGATGGATGTATGGATTAGTTATTACCACATGATTCTAAAACAACTTAAATTTGTTTGATTTAAATGAAATTTGAAACAAAGATAGATACAGTCTTGATGAATACGTAGCCTAATTTTTTATACCACAAAGACAGTTACAGGCCACAGTTCATTAATAAAGAAAATCTTACAAATATTATAAATGTGAATGTTTAGATGTTTGTTACAAGATATCTCCAGAACCTAATTTAGGGGTGACTAGGTCATAGTCAACGCTGACCAAGTGCGGGTTGACTTCACATATCTTTGACTTTCTTAGATATGTGCAGCATCACGATGTTTTCCTTCACCGTAACAATATACTATAAATGTACATATGTAAATCGGAAATCAAAATACACATTGGTATATAACGGGATTCGAACACAGGACCTGCAGATTACAAGTAAAGTGCTGAAACCCCTAAGCCAACGGCGATCTATGGCCTAGTCACCCCTATCTAGGCTCCGAGCCCCTCAGCGGTGAACTGATCGATCGAGAACGACTGCATGAATCTTGATTAAATTTTTCATACATATAGAACATAGTCTCGAGTAACATATTACAGTTTAAATCATTTTTTTAATACAGTATAATAATTTTAAAAAAAACACGATTACCTGATCGTCTCGCTTGCGGCACAAACTCTGGTACATCAGGATTTAAGTTATCTCGTGGTGCTGCGCGACCGGTACGAAACATCCTAAAAAAAACCATCAAATTGTAATACTGTGCGACTGACATACAGACAGTTTTTGTCTACTAAATAGGTCATTTAAGTCCATTACTAATAGATACAATTATTAATTATTATTTTCTTATTCATTTATTTCTCATACATATTAATATAGTTTATTTCATAACCCAAAAAAAACATATTATATTAAAAATAGAACACCACAGACTGCGGAGTCCCATGAGTCAAACAACCAGTGGTGAGGGCTGCAGAGACAGGAACCTTCTCACGATGCATGCGGTTTCTTGGATAACTACCTTTTGTATCGGGCCCTTAATCCAACTGTGTAGCGAGAGCTTCTTGAGATGTTGGTCGAAGATCTTCGCTATCAGTCCATTTAGCGATACGACTATCGGAATAATGGTAGTCGATTTTATACGCCACATGGCGGTAACCTCGTGTATTATTATTATGGTATCAAGATGAAGAAAATAATTCTAAAAACCCTGTCTCAAGGTGAGACGTATAAATTACATCTTTGTCAAATTGATGCAAGCACTTCAAAATTGTCACTATCACATATAACCAAGAAATTAACTTTTTTTAAAAAACGATAAAAATGACAATATATTACTTATTGCTTTCTTACTAATATTATAAATGCGAATGTCTAGATGTATGGATGGATGGATATTTATTAAAAGATATCTCCAAAACCATTCAACAGATTTCGATGAAATTTGTCATACATATAGAACATAGTCTGGAAGAACACATAGACTACTAATTAAGTTTTTTAAAGCAATATTACAATAGAAACTTACCTAGGCAATGGTGGAGGAGGTACAGCACGCAGCAGTCCTGACACAGGAGCCACTAGTGGACCCCCCATTGTTGCCAGTGGAAATATACCCACCATTTGCTTCTTACGCCTGAAAAAAAAACAAATATTGTCATATGTTAAGCGGTGGCTCAGTGGTTAACCACTTGATTTTTAATCTGCAGGACTTAAGTTCAAATCCCGTCATGTAGCAATGTGTTATTACATATGTACATTATCGTATATTGTTACGGTGAAGGAAAACATCGTGATGCTGCATATATCCGAGAAAGTCAAATGTGTCAAGTCTTGCACTGGACCAGCATTCACTATCACATACTGTCACTTAGGGTAGACGCAGAGACCCTCAGCGAGTCATTAGAGATATTAATGTAAGAACAACGCCTTTTAATACTATTTTACTAATATTATAAATACGATTTTTTGGATGGATGGATGTTTATTTGAAGGTATCTCTAGTTCAGCTGCATGGATCTTGATGAAATTTGTCATAGATGTAGAACATAGTCTGGAAGAACACATAGGCTACTAGGTTTTTTATTCCGCAGACGAAGTTGCAGGCGAATGCTAGTTATAATAAAACTAATATACAAAAAGAAAACTTACTTTTTCTCTCCGGGCTTTTCCTCGTTCTCCGACTGCAATGGAGGATCTTCCGAGTTCTGCTTCTCTTTCTCTTCCACTTCCTTCTTCTCAATATCTTCCGTCTCTTTCTTTTCCTCTATCGTTTGTTCCTTTTCGTCTTCTACTTTAGCCACATCCTGGTCATTGGGTTTCTCTTCCTTGGTTACAGTAGACACCGTCTGTGATACAAGCTTGAATATATTTCTAAATAAATGTTAACCTTATTATTAATCTTACTAATATTATGAATACGAATGTTTGAATCTCGACGTAATTTGTCATAGATGTAGAACATAGTCTGGACGAACACATAGGCTACTAGGAATAATTGCTGCTAGGAGAAATTGGAATGTATTTAACAATGGCAAAGTCCCTTCTTATTTTAGACCCTTTTTCTCCAACAATCAGCGTCAGTGGCTCAGGAGTTGAGCACTTGATTTGTAATCTACAGGTCCTAAATTGTAATCCCGTCATGTACCAATGTTACATTTACATATGTACATTTATCCTGTGTTGTTACGATGAAGGAAAATATCGTGATGCTGCACATATCTGAGATAGTCAAATGTGTGAAGTCTTGTACTGGACCAGCATTCACTATCACATAGTCTCACTTAGGGTAGACTCTAACCCTCATTGGGGACTTATGGTTAGCTGATGATGACCCATCTTTTAACAAATAATTAATGGCAATTACAACTCTGAGTATTAATTAACTTACCTGTGTATCAACTTCAGATTTAACTTCAGCGTCCACTTTCTCTATAACCTTCTCTTCTATACTTGGAGCTTCTTCTATCTTCTCTTCTTTTACTTCATCTTCTTTGTTATCTTGTTTGTCAATATTTTCCTTGTCTTTTACATCTGTATCGTTTGTATAAATCTTCTCGGTTTTATCGTTTCTTTCTGTGTCGTCAGAGTTTGTTATATCTAGTATCGGCCATTTCGTTGGTTCAAAAGCTGTTCGCACCTTGAAAAAGATGAAATATGAATAATTATTAGTGTAATGTTACTAATATTATAAATGCGAATGTTAAGATGTTTGTTATAAGTTAGGGACCTTACTACGTGACCTATTGTTCTAGTTTTTTCGACCCCTCCTTCCGCTCGGTGACCACTCGTAGATGCCAAGACCTCCCCCCTTTAGTTTTTTACGTAGTAATTCATAAAAAAAATTGGTACATACTCGTCTTTATAGCATAAGAATGCATGCATTCTTAAATGACTTATGTATTATGTATTATGAAAAAAACAAGTAACAATCACGTGACTAAAACCTAAGACCCCCCTCCCCCTCTTGTGACTGACCGTAGTATTTTAAGGACTCCCCCCCCTAAAAGGGTCACATAGTACGTTCCCTTATTTCCAGACCAGCTGCATGGATCTAGATGAAATTTGTCATATATGTAAAACATAGTCTGGAAGAACACATAGGCTACGTATTAAGTGTTTATTGTAATTCCAAGTGGACGGAGTCGCGGGCGGCAGGTACTCTATACATTATATATTTACGTCGCTGATAACGAATTTATTTTTTAAAATTTTCGTCTGTCTGTCCTATATCTGTCCACAAGGGTACATTTGTTTTAGGCAATCTCCTGTACGGATGAATACATTCTGACAGGATTTGGATGTAGCACCCTGGTCTAGATTTCTAGACCATCCACTTTAAATCACATCTTGGAGAGAAGGTTACACTAGACTATATTCACAGAAAAGGGCCCTTTCCGTCCAGCACCCTGGGTTACTCCTAGACATGTGTATACATACCTTAAATCCATTAATAAGCTGCAACTTGTCCGAGTCACGTATGGCGTCCAGCACGAGCTGCACGTCCGCAGTGAGCGCGCGCACGCGGTGGAATGACGCGATCAGTGTGACAGGTATCGTGCCGTCAGCCGCCATCTTGCGGCGCAGGAAGAAATCACGCGCCAAATTATCAGGACTGAAGTAGTACTCGCTGGGGAAATAAACAATTATTATTAGAAAGTTTTTAGTCAATCTTACTAATATTATAAATGCGAATGTATGGATGGATGGATGTTTGAAGGTATCCAGAGCGGCCAAACGGATCTCGCTGAAATTTGTCATACATATAGAATATAGTTTGGAAGAACACATAGCCTACTTATCAAGTTTTTCCGCGCGGACGGAGTCGCTGGCGACTAGTAATTTGATATGCGACAAACGTCGACCATTTTATAATTGCTATGTCGAATTTATCCATAGTGTACTGTTTTTTACTATTTTTTTTATATGATCAGGTGGCAAACGAGCGAACGGCCAGCCTAAAGAAGTGACCGTTGCCCATAGACATACGTAATTGCATATAAGTTGTCTAGCTTAAATCGACGCAGGAGAGGATGCACAGAAAGAAAATATTTTCCCTTCCCATGCATCCTTTCCTTATAAGAAAAAGGGTGGGAAGGGAATGAGGTCTAAATTAGGCCTCCGGGACGCACACTCATGAGACTGTACTTGGAATTGCTTTCACTTGAGGCGTGTCTTCTGTATGGTCGTGGTATTTCACTGAGCAAGGACAATTCTTGCGAAGATGTTAAAGCGGGCTCTACCACTGTTAAAAGTCTGTCATACTTTTACATTTGAAACCCATATTAGGTTATATTAAGTGTGCGCTATTTTGTAAGAGCGGCCATCTTGCATTTTTTATAGAACATAACAATATACTTACATTTGCTTCTTAATAAGATCCTTGAGCGTGGCATGGTCCAGTCCTAGGCCGTAGGGCGGGGCGTTGTAGTAGTACGCCTGTGCGAGTGGCGCGACGTGCAGCGCGCCGTAGTGCAGCATCAGGCCCTGCGCGACGCCGGCTTGAGCTCGCAGCTGGGAGGGGGTTAGGGAGGGGTGATAGCGGGTATATGTCTCCGGTGTGTCGCGTACAATCAGACTAAACTTCTACAAATATTAACTGATGGCTATGTGAAATCTCACACGGTTTTTTTTAATAATATTATAAATACCTATAAAGGAGCGTCGGTGGCTCAGGAGTCAAGCACTTGACTTGCAATCTGCATGTCCTGGGTTCGAATCCCGCCATGTACCAATGTGTTTTTCGATTTCCGACTTAAATATGTACATTTATCCTATGTTATTACGGTGAAGGAAATCGTGATGCTGCACATGTCTGAGAATATCAAAGATATGTGTGAAGTCAAACAAACCACAATATTAGCAGATTTTTTTATGTAAATTTACTAATATTTCTTTAATCATTCCAACTAAGCTCTATGCTTGTGCTAGGATATGGTTCACGACAATAGTCGAATGGCGGGATTCGAACCACCGACCTCTTGATCGGAAATCCGTACCCTTAACCATTAGGCTATTGACGCTTAAATGTTTTCCTTCACCATAACATTGAATAAATTACCCATTATATAACTGAGACTTCACATAGTAACCACAGATTATAAATCTTCCAAGTATATAACTTGTTTATATACTAAAACCGGAGACACATAATAAAAACATGCATGATATGATAACACCATACCATATTAGTAATTCCCATATAAATGTAATATAACTTTATAACCAAATGTAACGAAGCTTTGTTTTTTAGTATAATTTAGATAAACTTATATTTGCGTCCCTTTCCTTCACCGGTGTTCAAAAGGTTAAAATACGAGTTTAACTAACATACATATTGTATATCTTTATATATACGAGTATAATTCTTCTGTGAGTGTGTATGTCACTGAACTTCTCTCAAACGACTGGACCGATTTTGATGAATTTTTTTGTGTGTGTTCAAGGGGATCTGGGAATGGTTTAGATTCACAATTTTGTCCGTTGGACAATGTTTTTTTAATTAATTTTTAATTTATTAGTAGTTGTTGATTTTGGAATGTTTTACATTGGATCCGACAGACGGCGCTACCATCGCAGTGTCAAATTTTAAATACTATTCGAATTAAAGACGTGTAGACAGGACAACGTCTGTCGGGTCCGCTAGTATATATATTTATATATTGATAGCGAAGAGCTTCGACCAACACCTCAAGAAATTCTCGCTACACAGTTGGATTAAGTGCCCGATACAAAAAGCAGTTATCCTAGAAACCGCACGCATCGTGAGAAGGTTCCTGTCTCTGCAGCCCTCACCACTGGTTGTTTGAGTCATGGGATTCCGCAGCCGGTGTTCTATTTTTAATATAATATGTTTTATATATATATATTTTTTTAAATATGATAAATAAATATATATGTAAGGTATACAATATATAAAAAACATATAAACAATGATTCCCAACACATATATACATAATAAAATAGCTTGATAATCAAAATGTATGAACCAAATGGGGACCCGTAAAAGCATTTAGGAGATTTTGGGATATTGCCCTAACTTCGGTATAGAAATTCTTCTTAAATATACAAGAAAAATTACTATACCACGAACAAGTTTAATTTTTGTCCGTTAAATTATATAATTAAACTTGTTTCACATATATACAGGCAAACCAGGATAAACGAGAAACCTCGATAAGCGAGAAACTCGATATAGAGAGAAACCTCCAAAAGCGAGAAACTCGGGTCAGAGAGAAGCCTCTTTTAGCGAGAGACACGAGTTAGTGAGAAACTTCTACAAGCGAGAAAAATTGTCCTTCGGATTCTAGCTTATCCAAGTTCAGCTAAAATTACTTATTTAAAGCATCGTAAGAAAATATTTTTATATTATGAAACAAGTCTATTATATTAATAAAAACACAAACATAAAATGAAAAAAAATTAGCTAATAAATAAGTCTTGGGATTTTGTCTATTTAAGTTATTTTAAAGGATATTTTTTTACTTAAATATACTCAACATATGTAAAATATAACGTTATGTTTGTCGTACAAAGTACATAAGTTCCTTGTCATACCTGTGGCAGGTCGGGATGTGTGAACTCGTGGTGGTAGAGTGCGTGCGGTGGGAGTGGCAACGCGGATGCTGGGCGGGGCGTTGTCCTGCGTCCGCCGCGTCCTCTCGTCGAGCCCCTACCACGATTGCCCATACGACCTCGGTCTTCACCGTTCAGTGATACTGTATCTGGAAATTAATTGTAGTATTATAAATATATTCTAACCACGACGCGTTTCGATTCGAGCCTACCTTAAGTAAGACTAGACCTCGGACAAAACAACACCACTGTCATAAATAAGGCTAGACCTAAGACAACACGCCTCACACTTACTCTAAGACTAGGCCTCAGTCGACACATCCCCCACTTCCCAAAGTAAGACTAGGCCTCAGTCAACACGCTCCCACTTCCCTAAGTAAGACTAGACCTCAGTCAACACGCTCCCACTTCCCTAAGTAAGACTAGACTTTAGTCAACACACTCCTCGCTGTCCTAACTAAGATTAGGCCTCAGTCAACACGTCCCCAGCTTCCCTAAGTAAGACTAGGTCTCAGTCAACACGCCCCACACTTCCCTAAGTAAGACTAGAACTAAGTTAGCATGCCCTACTGAACCCTAATGCTAGACCTCTGAAAACAGCCCCCCCCCCGGCCTTAGTCCCACTTCCCACTGTCCTAAACACACACAAATACACATACATCTAATATCTGAACAGATATACGTAATCAAATTACTTTAACATATTTCATTCATCGCAAAACTAAGAAGATACTAAGCGTAGAACAAATACTAAATACTGTGCTATTTAAAAAATGCTTAAACTACAAAACGGCTATTAATAAAACTCATCTACTTAATAGTGAAAATACCTACATAACAATAAGCAAGTTACTAAATAATAAACAAAGAAGTAAAAAGTTATAAAGAAAAGTACTAAAAATTAAGTAATTTTAAACTACGAATAAAACACAATGACACTATTGTTTTTCACTGTCCTAAAACTTATTTCTGTTAACTTAATGTGTGTTTATATGTATGTTAACAAAGATGGATGTTTGTTAGAAGGTATCTTTTTTTTTTATTTAAATATTGGCAGATTTTTTTTGTGAATTTACTAATATTTCTTTAATCATTCCAATTAAGCTGTATGCTTGTGCTAGGATATGGTTAACGACAATAGTCGAATCGCGGGATTCGAACCCCCGACCTCGTGATCGGAAATCCGTACCCTTAACCAATAGGCTATTGACGCTTCAACAACTCCAGAACGGCTGAATGGATGTTGATGAAATTTGTCATACATATAGAACATAGTCTGGAAGAACACATAACCTACAAAGTTTTTTTTTAATTCCGCGTAGAATCACGGGCAACTGTTAGTAATATTATAAATGCGAATGTTCATATAGATGTTTGTTAGAAGATATCTCCACAACGGATCAACAGATCTTGCTGAAATTTGTCATACATATAGAACATAACCTGAAAGAACACAAGCCACTTATGTTTTTTTTTTAATTCCACTCGGGCACAGCCACGGACAACAGCTAGAAGTCTATGATTTTTTTTTAAATTTCAGTTTTAAATTTCAGTCTTACTTAAATGTAAAATAGTTAAGATAAATTTATTATAATTTCTCATATCTTTTGAATAGAACTATACATTTTAGACAAAGGAAAATTATTACTAAATTCAATTGTAAATTATCTACAGCTCTACAACAATATAAATCAATATTCATAGTTTTAGGTGCAATTTTTTTAATCTGTACCTGACACTTGTATAACCGGTGCCCGGGTTAGGATTCCTAGGACACCTAGAACATAGTACTAGACTAAAACAACGACCTAACTCAGCTGGGTAAGCAGAGATTAACCCAAATACATCTATGTGAGTAAGACAAAGCCAAGTATCTTTGAAATCTAAACTAACCAATCTTATAATCTTACTAATATTATAAATGTGAATGTTTAGATGTATGTATGTGAGAAGGTATCTCGAGAATGGTTGTATGGATCTCGATGAAATTTGTCATACATATAGAACAACACATAGACTACCTATGATATAAAAATGTGTACAGTTCCCTTGGGATATGTTTGTTTAACATATTTACTGATTAACTCGGCAACAGTTTAACATATCTTATTGAAATTTGGCACACATATAGAACATAGTCTTGAGTAACTCATGATATACTTGTCACCATTTTTTTTTAATTTATTGATAGCATATAGTGGTCATCAAAGTATACCCCTCTAGGGGTTTGTATGTTAATTAATTTGTAACATCCTGTATCACATAGTGAACATATTTTAACAAATGAGGTGTTATTCGATTCGTATTCTTACAAAGAGTGTCATACAGTTGGGTTTTATTTGTTACTCACCATTATCATTCCTGTGTGAATGTGGAGGTCCATGTTTGCCTGGTCTCGGAGCTTTCACATCTATATCTAACGGGACCCATTTGTGTTTCCCTGATTTACTGCTGCCTTTGCCTGCACCTGAAATATGAAGTTAATTGAGTTAATTATAAGAAAAAAAAACTAATTTAACATATTGGACCACTACCAGATATGTTGATACTTTGATTGGATACATTGAAGGAGGGGACGGACAGAAAGAGAATATTCCCCGTACCTATGTTTTCTCTCCTCTGTCAAATCCACATTCCCTTTCCATCCTTTCTGTAGGGTATGCATAAATGTAATGTTGTTTGTCTCGAGTGTACACGTAAGTACATGGCAGAGACAGGGGGCGTCAGTCGATGTCCGACCTTTGGACCGCCAGCACGTGTCGATACGTGAACGACCCAATTATAACTCAACGAATGCTACACTTTCCTTTTAAGAAAAGGGTAGCAAGAGGAATAAAAAACAATCTTCTGGCATGAACTCATCAGAGTGTAGTTGGACTGAGTTCACAGTTGAAGCGTGTCTTCTGTGAGGTTGTGGTATTGCAGCGGACGAGGCACACAGTTCAACACATGATGTAGCTGGACCTTTGTTAAACTGATGATGATGAGTATTTTACCTGTGCCAGTTTTATTCTTGTCCGTATGCTTGTCGTGATGTTTGTCATTGTGAGCCTGGTGATTGTGCTGTATCTCCACCTTATCCGACTTCGTCTGTTGCTCCTCTGGTGGCTTCCTCTCCTGATCCTGAAATTATTTATCATCATCTTATAATACTAATATTATAAATGCAAAAGTTTAAATGGATAGATGCAGAACTGCTTCATGGATATCGCTGAAATTTGTCATAAATGTAGAACATAGTCTGGAAGAACACATAGGTTACTTTTTTTTTAATTCTTCGCGGACAGTGTCGTGGGTTTTAGCTATTACTTAATATACATACCGCATTGCCGTTATGATGCGAGGAGTCAGCATCATGTGGTGGGGGCGTGGAGTGACAACGCGCCGCACCAGTAGCTGCTCCTAGTGTAGGCCAGTCCCCGATGTCCGTGAAGTCCGAAGCCTGCGGACAAAATAAAATGTTAGTGGAAAAGTTAATGCTTATTGTCTAGGTGGAAATGGACCTTATGGTGCTCTAAATCCAAGACTGGGCCAATCTCGTGTTGTGACATATAGTCAAACTCAGATGCTAGTGGTGTGCCCGCATAAGTTGTCACCAAGATACATAAAAATTAAATTCAGCGAAAAATCTCGAGAAAAATTTGCTAATTTTGCGGCTGCTGCCGTCATAAAGTTTGTAGTCTCTTACATATCCATTGGGTTCAATCAGTAGCGGCGTTAGGCTAGGGCGCCTTGCATCAGGGGGCGCCCCAGGCGCCTGTGTTGCGTATAAATGGACGCCTGAGGCGCCCCCTAACATATCCTATCTTTGAAAGATCTCCTCCGATAAGAAAAGAGAAAAAAGCGCCAGTCAAAACCGACCCTGGATTCAACAGTGGATATCTAGTCAAAAGGATATTATGGATATGGATATCATAACGCTAATTGTCTCTCTACACCTGCGCTTCATTCTCGATCTTCGCCCAGCACCGCCTCGACTTCGATTTCCTTCTAGTCGCAACGCCCGCCGTCATCTCGACACTTAACACTTTGTACACTTCGTACACTTGATACACTTTAATGTGACATTGTTACACTTTTATACACTTTGCACTGTTTAGATCATTTTTGGTTTAGTTCAGGTTAGTCAACTATAAAAGAATTTGGCATAAATTTCTCAATCAATCATACATACTTGAATATTATGTTAAATTATTTAACAAAAATATGTACGTAATAAAGATTGAAATATAGATTTTCCTATTTTTATCTTTAAGATACTTAGCAGCTGGATATTATCATGATTAATTGTTGTTAGCGCAACATCAAAATTGCCAAACATTTGCTAATTGATTTGGCACATCGGAAACACGACTACTCTTCTACGTTACGTGCCAACTCAAATTTAAAGTACAGTCAGCTACATAAATAAGGTAGCTTACAGAACTTGTTTACGCGTTCGGTATAAAAGTGTATGCTTCCAACGTCGTTGACAAATACGCGCATTCGTATTTATAAAACATGTTTCTAGAGTTTTGTTAACATATTTATGGAGCTGACTGTACAATACCTGGTTTTAGGCCACATCCTGTCAAACAGGTCACATCTTTGACATTCTAAAGACAAGATCCTGTCCAGGTCATGTCAATGTTCGACATACATCGCCTGACGACAATATATCCATAATATATCCATTATTTACTAGAATGCCGTTGGCATTTAGAACACGGAAGCGATTGCGATCCGGTCCACAAGGTTTTTAAATAAACTTTTATTAACTAGATATTGAAGATATTAAAAGCAAAACTAAATAAAAGTAAGCTGCATCTTTTTTAAACTTATGATAAATTCGACAACATTATAGTCGCAAAGAAATCGATAAAAATGGGAAAGTTCAGATGTTTGTTAGAAGGTATCGCCAGCGACTCAACGAATCGCGTTGAAATTTGGCATAGATGTAGAACATAGTCAATAAGAACATACAGGCAACTAATAAACATGTTGTTATTTCTGTTTTGACAAAAATAATAACAAGATTTATGCTATCAGAAATCCACGATTAATGTCACATGGTATTTCGGTATTAAAAACCTCCCGTATTGCCATTACTTTTAAATATACATATATCCACGATAATCAGCCGTAAATTACTGTCCAATCTTCATACATCGAATAGGAAATGAAGTAAGTGACTTCTAATCTTTGTTTTATTTATCCATAACCCCAGCTTATTACGTCTTTATTACTTGTAATTAAACATTACTAAGAAATCATAGGGTTTTAGTAAAACCCCTAGTGCATAAATGCAATGGGGAAAATCCATATACGTATCTTAGGTAGTTATCAGATTGTATAAAAATGTATCCCATAATAATTATTATTTGTCGTTATTAATTAAAAATATCTAGTGACAGACCAGATTCAAAAGTAAGGTTATTTTACGGTCAAATACTGCGCAATTGGTAAAAATCTTCGGCACCGGACAAACTCCTAGATCTTATATAACATTAAATGCAATATTGGAAAAGAAATAAATAAACTCTAATCTATATTTAATAAAAAAAAAAGTTTATGACGTCGTAAACCTGTGACGCCGGTATTGAAAACAATTAAAACAAAACACAGATATACGCCCTTGAAAACACAAACGCACATAAAACACAGACACAAACAAACAGTTCTATTTTCTTTTTTCCACAACTTATATCGTTTTTTTTACATTTAATACGTATTTAGTTTTGTAGCCATGTTAAACACCGCACAGAACATAACCTCAAAATTGAACGCATGCGCTCTCCGATACCAACGCGCTCTACCACGTTTCGACTTTTGATACGGTGACCATCATTTTTACTTACAAATAACAGACCCGAAATGCGTTGTTCTGTGTTAACTAAAAATGTTGATTTCAAATTTTCAAGTTAACTTCGTAATTTTTTTCATTCACAAGAACCTTCTCCTGTCAATAATAAAACACCCATAATTTTATGAGGTAGAAATTAAGCAATTATTTAGTCAATTTCACAAGTAGTAAAGACATATTTGTTTTACTATAAATCTAACGTGACTTAACAAATATTTACAAAAACAAAATAATACTGTTCATTGATTTTATCAAATTATCCTAAAATACAATCTAAAAATTGTAGACACTATACCGCGCAACTATCTCTCTCGCACTCAACCGGTGGTCCCAACCAAGGTCGAGTTTCTCGAGCGATTCGCGAACGTCACGCGGCCTTCGAGTATTATAATTCACATTAAATTTATGTAATTATATTGATATACGCTTGATATTTCCATTGCTTACGCACGTATCATTTACTTTCATATCAGGTAGGAGAAAGTCAAGGTTTTTTACTAGCAGACAAAAAATCTGATCGTTATTTCTGTAGCACATTTTAATTCTATTTTTGAAATAATAATTGACAGGTCTACCTGTCAATTATTATTTGACGTCTACGTCATATAGCAAAAAGATATTAACTGTAAGAATAAGGAATTATCCAAAGATAAATAGCCATTTCGTCATCAGACATCAGCTGATGTTATAATATTTTATCATACATTAGCAGTCGCCTGCAAATCCGTCTGCGCGGAATTAATGAAGCGAGAGAGGTTTCTTAGGACCGCGCCAAATGACCGTAGCCTCTGCCTATTCCTCTGGGTTACGGGCGTCATTTAACTTATTTAAAATCAGTGGCCATTTTAGAACAAGGAGGTAACTTACAACTCAATTAAAAAATACAGTGGCTCGCAGATGAACCGTTATGTCTAGTCAATAAGGCAACTTTTTTTCAACAACATACTTCTAATTCTAATAAACTGAACTGCAATGCTGAAATTGAAACAACAGGTCCTATAAGTTTATTGATCGGATTGCGTAGTGAAGTAGCTCTAAATGGAAATACGTGATTTCTGCCTATCCTTCTGTTACGATCGTGAGTTTTGATCATTTTGATGTTGCGTAATAATGTAAACGTAGTATTTTTAATATACATACGAACTTACAAACTAAAATAATCAGACGCTTTCGTACTATATCTTCTATGTGTTTATAGATTGCCGGCATAATAGTGGACAGTTTCAAGGACACAGACTCTAACATATAACCATTATCTGTAAATTACAGAATAAAAACTCTACATTAACAAGTCTTGATTGATAGATGTTTGTTAGAAGGTATCTCCAGAACGGCTGTATGGTTCTCGCTGAAATTTAGTATAGATGTAGAACATAGCCTGGAAGAACACATAGACTATTAATAATGTTCTTTTTTTTAATTCCGCGAGGAAGGAGTCGCGGGCAACAGCTAATGTATTAGAGCATGACGTAAGGTGTCTGTACAATCATTTATCTTTACTCTATATTTGATAAAACATTATTTATCGTTACGGCAATACTTTAAAAATATCGTAAAGTTTTCGCTAAGTTACATGATTACCACCTACACAGAAAATACAGAATAAGAGAAGTGTTTCCAGACATATGTTTTAATATTGTCATCCCTTTCATATTCTTTAACCAAACAGAGACAACAATATGTCTATACCAGTAAGGTTGTTTACTTTAATTAACGCCACCTCTACGTTACTTAGCGTATTTGCAATTTCCTACGCTTCGATACTCTGTTATCGATTTTATCGTACATTGAAGTGGAATTATTTCATACAACATTCGCTTCGATGGGTGATATTTGTTGCATTTATCAGAAGCCGTCGCCTCGTAAAGTGGACGCTGTTTGGTTCTTTATGCTCGGATGAAATAAAATTAACTCGTAAATTAATTTTTATTCGCCATTACGAAAACGACAATCAAGTTCGCATTTATCGAATTCTTTTGTTTTGAACAACGAATAATAATTTAAAATTGTTTTAAACTACACCTATGTAAGTTTCTTATGAGCCAAACTCAACCTTGACAAAATCCCGTAACCTTTATAGCCAGCTCAGTTATTTAATGTCACTTGTACCAATATTACAACAACATAACTAACGTCCGCAATCCAGACAGGTACAGGTAGGCAGAGACACTGGACCTTTTGTCATGGTCCTGACACACCTTTCTCGATTGGTCTATATTCATACATCTTGAAAGTGTGCGCAGTGTCCTTCGGGCCGTGCCAGATGGATTTATACCGTCCAGATTGAAGAAATACTCAAGAACCAGTTAGTTTTTATTAAATTTATTTGAACGTTAAGTATTCGCAAAAAGATTTTGCACACATCCTAAAGAATAAAGTACTACGATCGTCTGAAATGTGGTATCCATTGGTGGATTCATAACTTGTGTATTCAGCTATTACAATATGGTGAATAAACGGTCGTGAGTCGGCTGCTATACAATCGTTTGTTCTCGACTTGTTTACCAGAGAATTACAATGACGCAGAGATATAAAAGATACATCGGTATTTTCTTAACACTTGTGTTTGTCATTGTAACAAATAAATAAGTAATTGCTAC